TCCTATCAGTCTTTCGCGCAGTTTCTTGGACACGGTTCCAAGCCGGCTCTGCGCTCGACCAAAGCCAAGGACTTCATAACACACTCCGGCCTTCATAGCTTCGTTGATAGCTTTGCTGTGCCTGTGAAGATTCAGAAGGGCAGGAGTAAGCCCGTTGTCGCCATTGCTCTTCCCAACGGCCCGTTGCTGGCGGCGGTCTGCATTGCGACGACGACTTACTATACCGCGTCCCCCATCAACCCGGCAGCTGGGCCAGTGCAGTTCCAGGCAGATGTTCTCCAGGCTGGCGCTGGATGCATTCTCACGACACCCGATGATTACGACAGGCTGCAGCTCAGCGACGACTGGGTCAGCGAGCATGGCATCGAAATCGCCTTTGTCGAATCAAATGGCGATGACATTCGGCTACAAGATATCAAGGGCCGGCCCTTGAAGATCAAACAGCCCAAGCCAAATCATCCTGACGACATCAGTCTCATCCTCTTCACCAGTGGTACATCTGGCACCAAGAAGGTGGTCCCGCTCACTGTCCACTCCATTGTCGCCGGTATTGTCTTCGTCATGGACTCGTGGGGATTGTCCTCCGACGATGTCTGCCTAAACATGATGCCCTTGTACCATGTAGGCGGACTGGTCCGCAACATCTTCGCTCCCATGTTCTCCGGAGGCTCCACTGTCTGCTGCGCCGCGTTTGACCCGAGCCTCTTCTGGGACGTCGTCGAAGACATCAATCCTACCTGGTATTACGCCTCGCCTTCTATGCACTCCGTCATCCTGGCGGAAGCCCCTTCAAGACCCAAGGCGCTCAAGAACAACAAGATTCGACTGGCTTGCAACGCCGCTGGCGGCCTTCTGCCCTCCCTCGCAGTTCAACTTCGAGACACGTTTGATTGCATTGTTCTCCCGAGCTATGGAATGACTGAGTGCATGCCGATCTCGACCCCACTATTGGATTACAAGCTGGACCGCCCTGGCACATCGGGCCTGTCCACTGGGCCCGAGATGACCGTGCTGGATTGGTCCGACGAAAAGGTCCGTCCCGGTGCCGTTGGTCGCGTTTGCGTCCGCGGCGAGCCGGTCTTCCACGGCTACCTCAAGTCCGATGGATCTCTCGACAAGTCCCCATTCAACAAACATGGCTGGTTCGATACCGGTGATCTTGGCTACCTCGACGCCGATGGCTACCTTTACATTACTGGTCGCAGCAAGGAGGTCATCAACCGTGGAGGAGAGCTCATTTCTCCCTTTGAAGTTGAGAATGCCATCATGGCTGCTGCCGGGGCTGTCGATTCACCCATATCAGGTCGTGTCACACAGGCTCTTGCCTTCTCCCTCACCCATGACGTCTTGCAGGAGGTTGTTGCCATCGCGTTGGTAACCCCCCAAGATAAGCATCGAATTGACCTCAAGACACTGCATGAGGCACTCCGCTCCTCGCTTCAGCAGGTCAAGTGGCCCGTCCTGATCACGTACATGGACGATCTGCCTAAGAAAAACAACAAAGTCCTTCGCATCAAGCTTGGAGAGCGTCTCAACATCCCGGAGATTACAGATGACGCTCCCTACCTAGCTAGGCATTGGACTGGTGTCTGCCCTCCCCCGGACACTGACCTCAAGATCCCGATCGCTTCCGCTCCGTGCGAGGTCGATTGCGGCGCTGTCATGGGGGTCATCCGATCTGCTCTTCCCAAAGACTTCCAGTCCCATGTTCGTGTTCACGAAGGAAACACTGAGGCTTTCCTCGCTCCCAAGGCAACAGCGAAGCATGTTGAACCGCTTGATCCTGATTGGGCTGGCCACATGAGGCGTTTTATCTCACTGTCTGTTCATAACTACATGGTTCCGAACAAGGTGCATCTGCTTGCAGAACCTTTGCCACGAGACCCCAATGGCGATGTGGACGAGGAGGCACTGCAGGAAATTCTGGACAAGCTCGAGGAAGAATCAATGGGTAAGCTGGGCGGTTCGACTGAAGGTCGTGTTCTTCAAGCCTTCGCCTCGATTCTCGCTTGCAGTGCTACCGATATTAAGCCCACCGCCGACTTCTTCGACCTTGGCGGTGACTCCCTGAGAGCTGGCAAGCTCATGTCGGCGCTTCGAAACGACTTCAACGTCAACCTGCCCATCAGCTTGATCTTCAGCCAGGGTACACCTAAAGCCCTATCTGCCCACATTGATGACCTGCTGAAGTCGGCACCCAGCGCGGACCAGATGGAGAGCAACACAGAAGGCTGCGCGAAAACCAACAGTTCGACAAATCCGTTCCTCATGTTGCTTCAGTTGTTTCCCTTGGTGGTTTTGTATCCCATGCGCCGCGCCTTCCAGTGGACTATCTTTATCCTCGCGCTCAGTTACACTCAGGGCTGGGTCACCAACATGTCGGTCCCCGGTCGTCTCCTCAACCTCACTGTCTCCATCATGTTCGCCCAGGTCGCCGTTCGGGCCGTCGCACCCTTCATCGGTATCGCAGCCAAGTGGCTCATCATCGGTCGTTACCGTGAAGGCCTCTACCCTATGTGGGGTCTCTACCACACCCGTTGGTGGATTGTCCAGAAGACTGTGTCCATCTGCGGAAAGGGTTTCTTCAACATGAACGAGTCTACCAAGCGTCTGTATCTTCGCATGATGGGCGCTCGAATCGGTAAGGGCGTAAAGGTCAACGGCACATCTCTCGGCGAATGGGATCTTCTGGACATTCGCGATGGTGCCACGCTTGGAAAGTGCACCTGCCGCCCGTTCGCCGCCGAGGGTAACACGTCAATGTACTTGGGTCGCATCGTCATTGGGGAAAACGTCTCTGTCGGCGTCGCCTCGATCATTGCCCCGGGCTCTTACGTGCCCGCCGACACTTGCATTGGTCTCAACTCTTCCAGCTGGGAGCAGCAGGATGCTGACGAGTCGTACCGCGACCTGACGGCCAGCCGCGCTCCCAAGCCTCACTGGGCCATGTCGATCTTCTTCACCATGCCCATCATGCTCATCGCCTGGTTCTTGGCACTGACTCCTTGGCTTGGCGGTCTGGTCGGCATGGTGCTCAATCAGCCAATGGACAACAACTCGCCTTTACGTGATATCCTCAACTGGTTTACCCAGCCCGAGCGTGTCGGCTATCACTACCTGGCACTTGTCCTGCGCACTATGTTCAGCCCCTACATTCTCTTCGGGTTTACAATCTTCATCAAGACCATTCTCGATGCCTGCTTCGGCAAGATGGGACCTAACCCTGTGGAGGGCCGCGGCAACGTCACTACATGGAGGGGAGCTCTCATGAACAGTCTCATGCCTGGATCCCGTCTTCACGACCTTACTGCCATGTTCGGCCAGCATTACGAGGCCACTTCGGTAGCAGTCCGTATGCTTGGTGGCAAGATTGGCAAGCGTGTCTACTGGCCCGGTACCGGCCCCGGCATCGGCGACTATCACCTGCTCGATATTGGTGACGATGTCGTGTTCGGCTCTCGTTCGCGTCTTATCACTTCCGACGGCAATGGATCTGAGAAGATTGTCATTCGTGACCGTGCCATGATTGCTGATCGCGTCACCTTGCTCCCTGGTGTTGAAGTTGGCCACAAAACTGTTATGGGCTCCGGTGCTTTGACCCGTCGCGGTGGCCGCTACGCTGATGGTGGTACCTACGTTGGTTCCAAGGGAGGTGACGCCGTCTGCCTCTCCTCCGGTTCCGACATGTCGGAGAAGAAGGAGAAGCGGCAAAGCCAAATCCACCGCGTTGCGAGTGACGCTACTCTCATCGAGACCCGGGAGGCGCCCTCAAAGAAGGCCCCTAACGTGTCCGACCATCCTATCATGGCCAGGGATTCTGACAGCGAGCACACGATCGTCAACCACGATGAGGCTTCCCCTTTCGGCCGCGCCTTCTACTTCAAGCTTGCTCCTTACAGAGTCATGGGCCCCTTTGCCATCTTCTGCTACTCGACTTTCATCACCGTCTTCACGGCTTTCTTCTGGAACGTGCCCAGCATCACCGCCATCCAGCTTGTCGATCGCATCACGCGCGAATTCGTCCCTTCGTACGGCACAGCAAAGGATGCTCTCATTCTGTACGGCATGGTGACGATTGCTATCTCGATCCTGACCACTCTGCACGCCATCTTCGCCCTTGGCATTGTCATTGCCGCCAAGTGGATGCTCCTCGGCCGCCGCACGCCCGGGAACTATGATTGGGACAAGTCGCCCTACTGCCAGCGCTGGCAACTCTTCCTGAACATTGAGAAGATTCGCCGCAACTGCTACCGTGGCCACGGCATTCTCGGACTTCTCACCGGCACCGAGTGGATCGTCCTCTACTTCCGCGCCCTGGGTGCCACTATTGGCAAGGACTGTTGCTTGTTCGCCAACGGTAACCCCAGTCTGATGTTCACCGAGCCGGATCTGATCACGCTTGGCGATCGTGTAACTGTCGACGATGCTAGTGTCGTGGCCCACATCAACACGAGGGGCAAGTTCGACCTCAACAGGCTGCAAATTGATGACAGGTGTGTCCTTCGTACGGGCAGCCGCCTGTTGAGTGGTGCGATGATGAAGAAGGACAGTTGCCTTCTCGAACATACCCTCATCATGGGTGGTGACGTTGTCGAGGAGGGATGCACGATGCAAGGGTGGCCTGCGGAGCGCTACTATGGAAAGCGCATCAACCAGGGTACTGGTCAACCAGACGGGGAGCCGAGCGATTCGGATGGCCTTCGCAGCGACGCTGAGACCATCACTGGATGAGTAATGGATGACGGCAACACGATAAATATGATTATGATGGGAAGTAAAAAGGAAACACCAGATTGCAAACAAAATATCGCAAGGAAGAAGGGGAAAAAGCCGTGCTGGTCACGCAACGGGGAGGATTCGCACATGCAGTTGGCCCGGGTAGCGTATCTTAGTTTAGTGAATTTAGTTTAGCAGATTGGATAATAACAATTGGTTTGTTTCAATACTCAATACTCAAGTCTTGCTACGGTGTCCCTGTGTTCCTGAACGGGTGCTGCTTTTTAGTCTTTGACCTCAGCGCCACGCTCGGTAATCTCTGAAGGTCTCCCTGCGATAGCCTGACGTTCTTGCTCGGATAGCATGATTCCGAAAAGTCGATCAAAGGCGGCAATCCTCTCATCTTCACCCTGAAGACTTGCGATGACATGCTGCTCTTTGCCCTTCCCATCGCCCTCTTGAACAACTTGACGCAACAGCAGCAGCGTCTTGTCAATCTGTCCATCCCCGCCGCGCTCGAACCTCTGCACGACGACAGTCTTGGCCCAAAGGCTCTGCGACATGTTATAAAAGTTGAGCACGTCAAAGTCGGCGGCGAGGAACTCGGTCTCGGGGAAATGGTACACGTCTTGCCAGGTCTCGTCTCGGCGCCCGCCGCGGCGCTGGGAGTATACCCAGACCTTCTGACCGGCGTCCTCGTGCTGCGGCAGTGTTCTTTGCTCGAGCCTCAGTTGCTGACCTGGTAGGCCGATCTGGACGACCCCGTGGGAGGGAATGAGTGCGAGTGGGGTGATGGGCCCGTCTGCGCCGTAGCCTACGTCGACCAGGTACTTTATGTTGTTGAGAGTCACAACGTTAGCCATGTGGCTCCTGGATAGGGCTGTCAGCTGCTGCTGCTTGTCACATGGTAATGAGGGCGAGCTTTGGTCCGAAGGAGGATGTGGCTGCCTTGACTCGCGCTCGAGAGGAACCCCGTCTCTCTAGGCGTTCAATGGTTCAGGCACGCCGGATGCCCAAACTCACTTACATTGACCGCCAGCTGCCGTCATGCACACCACGCGTCGCCATCGTGATACGGCACACGACGCCGTATACGGAGTATCCCAGACTGCGAAGGACGTGGCCGAAGAACGTGTTGTTTTCGAGGCAGTAGCCTCCGCGCCGTCTAGTGACTATCTTATCGAAGAGAGCAGCGGTGTCAAGAGAGATAAGTCTGTCTGGCGAGTAGTGGAGAGCCAGCGTCTCGAAGGGGACATGGACAAGCTGGTGATGGACAAGCTCGGTGAGGCGCGCAACGGGGTTTTGGGCGCTCTCGAGGGGTGATGTCAGACTAATACGAGCTGCGTATTGAGCCAGCTGCTCCCCTGAGTAGCTCTTGGCGGTCATTTGTGAGGCATCCCCGACGAAGGTGGTTGTTCTGGTGATGGAGATGGGAAAACCGCGCAATAGCTACCTCTTCATCAGCTGGCGCTGAAGTACGGCTGAGGCGCGAGCAAGCTAACGGTTTGTGGGACTAATTCGCCCACAATACTGATGTTATATTGGAAGTGTCCGGCGATGTTGTAAGTTCAAGTCACTACCATATAGGCATTTCAGATCGGCGTGGAAGAAAGTTTCGTTAAAATTTATCGCCTTCGCGGCATTAAGATTTACGTATCCGGAGCATCACATCTACGTACGGCGTCACCCAACCATCGCCACTGGCTCATCCCTGCCGGGCATCCTCCCCCGAAAAGTGGTCAAATTCGGCAGCCCTCGTGCGAGGATTCTTCTCAAACTTGACAGCCTTGAAATCATACAGCACCAGCGTCCCGTTTGTCAGCTGCACGTCGAGGGCGTATACAAATTCAAACGTCCAGGCGTCCCAGTCGCCCTGTATTCCGGCGACCGTGAAGCGAAGGACCTCGTTGCCCTTCAGAGTGTTTTGGTACTTAGCTCTGTACCTCTTTGTCTGGCACAGGTCGATTGAGCCATCGGTCACGTCAGTGATGTTGCGCATGCGCTGGTCGCCACAGGAAGCGTGTCCAACGTAGACGCCTGACTGGTCGCAGACGAATCCGTCAATGGTGTTCAGTGACGTCTCAAGTTGCACCCAGTCCCAGGGGCCGTGCGACGCTGGGATCTCGATGTCGGCCGAGAACAGGGTCGTTGCCTCGTACGGGATCATAGACAGGCGCTCGTAGACCTCCGTACGGTCCACGGCCGTGTGGTAGATTGTCGACTGCAAGACGACACCACCCGCAACGGGGAACTCGACGACATAAGTGCCAGGTTTCATAGCCCTTGCAAAGTCAGGGTCGAAACGGCACATGACGTAAAAGTCGCCGCGCATGTTCTTGTGCCATGTCGCCCACTCGCCGGCCGGAAAGCTGTAGATGCGCGTCTCCGTGTCAAATGTTGACTGACCGAGAGAGCTTCCCGAGGCGGAGATGTAGGCTCCGTCGGCCACATCGACAATCTCCTCTGGGATGGCAAACTGAATGACTGATTCTGCGGGCACAGGAAGGGGAATATTGATCAGAATGTGAAGTTCCATCCAGACTGAAGCATCTGCTAGCATGGGCGAAGGGTCTTCGTGACGCTGAAGGCGAAGGGATGAGACAACGCCCTCCAGTCCGGTGGGTGTGGCAGCCACGTCAAGCGTCGTCGTGCTGCCGGGCACTGATATCGTGTCTTCGGTGACGGTGGATGAGGGCGCGCTCGTAGTGGCAGAGGATACGACGGCCTCTGTTGTAGATGCCACATCGGTTGTGGTGGCCGAAGGTGCCTGGGAGGAGGGCATTGCAGAGGTAGAAGCGGTACCCAGGGTTGTCGTGGTCGGGCCAGATCCCGGAACGGGATCATCACCAAGCTGGACAGAAAAGGAGTCTGATAGGAACAGTTGCCAGTCCTTAGGGTTCGAGGCATCGCCAAAGATACGCAAAGCACGCGACAATATACGGTAGCGACCAGAGGGAATGGCTGTGCCGTTGGCGAGACTTCGGAACGTGACATATGAACCTTGGGAGAAACGGACAACCTCCCGCATGGGGAAATCCATGGGACTCCAATCAATAACTGGCTGCTGGCGGATAGCCCCGTACCAAGCATCCGATCCGACAGCGGCGACAGGTGGGTAGACAAACTGCTCCGTCTTGTAGTCCTCTCCGACAATGTCGACGGAGAACTCGTACGTGCCGTAACGGAAGGCGAACCAAATCTCAGGCGATTCGCCCTCAGCAGCACGGTACGGCTCACCAGTGTAGTCTACCGGAAATAGCTCGCCAGTGTTCTGTTCAAAATAGTAGACTTCTGGACCATGATGGAGGGCACCCCACTCATAGGTCGATGCCTCGACGCCAAGGTAGGGAATCGAGATTGCTTGATCGTTGGATCCCTGAAGAACAATCTTGCCGGACCACAAAGCACCACTGTCCTTGGGACCATCCGGGGAAGCAAAGGTAACCTCAAACTCCTGTGTGGCGCCAGCGGGCACAGTTACGAGTTGGGGAGCATCCACAGAGACGGCGGCATCGGTAAGGGGAGGATAGTACGTGTTAACGTACCAAAGGACGTTCCTTGAAGACACGGTCGAAGAGGGCACATGCGTGACGTTGAAAACTACCTCTTCATTACCGTTATTTTGAACCCGAATCGTGTGAGTATTAGCACGGTTGTCGGTATCGTTGAGGTGCAGCGCCGGTTCTGAGAGCAGCACCACCTCGTGGTTGAAAACACTGGCAACGTTGATGAGACCAGCGCCCTGCTGGGCCACTGGTCCATTCTGAGCAAGGACCTTTTTGTCAAAGTCAAAGTAGGCTGGCAGAGTCTGTGATGTTGCAACGAGGCGGCGAATGAACTCGTCCTTGTCCTTCTTTGCGTGAGCGTAGTAGAGCGCGGCCACGCCGGCGACGTAGGGGGTTGAAAAGGATGTCCCCGAGGACACAGCAAACCTGCCATCGGGGAATGCACCATAAACGAAACCTCCAGGAGCCGAGATTAGAGGAGCCAAGTCATTCTCGTATGAGGGGCCCCAGGACGAGAATGCCGAGACGTGTCCGGCGCTGGGGATCTCGGCATCATCGCCCGAGATAGGGTCGGCATCAGCGTTGATAACCAATCTGAATGTGTGGCCCTCGGCGGCCTGGGCGCGCGCCCAGTCACCTACTGATGCGGCTGTGATGGCGAAGAGTTTAATGTCTCCCCAGAAGTTCTCCGCAAAATCGACGTCGTAATATACGCCCTGGTTGTATGCATCAAAGGCAAGAGCGTAGGCGTAGCCGCTGCTACTAGCAGCCCGTCCAGCCCAGCTGCCCGGGCAGACGCCGCGCTTGGAGAGAACAGCGGCGCCTTCGTTGGCGAAACTCTGAATGTTACACGAGTCGCCAGTGTCGAGCGTGAGCTCAACGTCTAGAGTCTCGTTATACTTGAAGCCAGTAGGCGTCACATAGGAGATGTTGAGGGACTCGCCGCTCGATGAGACAATGCGGGCAGGCCAGGCCAGTGTTTGGTCAGCCTCGACTGAGCCGACTGACACAACACCTTGACCAACAGCGGGAGAGCTGGCAAAGTAAGGGCCCATCTGGCCGTCGTTGCCAGCAGCGATGATGACGAGTCTGTCTTGAGCCACCTCGCTGGCGACACGTGCCGTCACAGCATAACGGTAGCCGGTGTTACTGCCCACTGACATGGAGATAATGTCGCAATTGTCGGCATCGGCCGCGAGCAGACCCTTGAGAACAAGGTCGGTGCTCGTACCGGTGTCGCATCCAAAGATCTTGTACATGTATACCTCGGCCCCAGGGGCCACGCCGTGAAAATATTTGTTGTTGGCGACGATGACTGAGGAGACAAAGGTGCCGTGACCAGTACAGTCCTCGAGACTATCGGAACCGTCGAAGAGGTTCTTACCGCCAGCGATGCGGTCCTTGAGTGCTGGATGATTGACGTCAATGCCGCTGTCGATGACACAGACTCGCTGCCCAGCGCCAGTGAAGTCGCGATCGTGCACCTCCTTTGCATGGGTAAAGGTGTGAGGATTCCACTCAGGAGAGCCACTCGTCGTCTCAAAGGAGACGTTGAGAGAGATGTGGTGCACAGGCCAGACGTTGGCGACGCCGGGGATGTTCTTGATGTCGTCGATGATGGTGGTGTCATTCTCGAGAGAGACCTCAACCGTGCCACCGTCGAAACGGTTCGAGAGGCCGGAGAAGTCTTCCTTGACGGTGGCTTCATAGCCAAGTGAGTTGATGTCTTGCACGACGGCTTCGACCCCAGACTCGTCACGGGTGCGAGCACGGCGACCTTGGCCGCCTGGCTGGAGCTCGATAATGTAACGGCCAGGAACGACGCCGCTATCTTCGGTGGAGAGAGCCTTTCTGCCGTTGACGAAGCCCGTGTCCTGTGCAGAGGCAGGGTAGGCGGCGGCGGCGAAGAAGGCCGCCCGGATGGCGGTGCGCCAACGAGCCATGACTTTGACTGAGGCAGCAGCTGGTGGTCTGGGTGAGCCTGTGTGCCGCGGAATACGGGGGCACCAGTTAACGGGCTTTCGAAGGTTCGCTAGGCTATGCGAAATAGGCTTGAAATACAGGCTACTCTCTTCATTTCCATCTTTCTCATGGGCTCTATTTATACATATGAATCGTCTGTCCGTCCCTCACCGACAGCATCGTCGGATCGCCGAGACCAGAATGCAGCCGAGCGACCCGTGGGCCGATGAGAGCGAGCACACTTCACGATGCTGCGGGATTTCGGGAAACAAGGGGGCCTGTCGTGCCTTGCAGGTAGCCATGCAGCTGGACTTGCAGACGGAGACCCGCGCACCCAGCCATGATACGAGACGGAGAAACCGAACTGATGCGATCTTATCAGATCAACTCTTTCTGTGCTAAGTGGAGCGCCATGTGCGGTGCTACCCCAGACTACCCTGACCCATGCAAGGTAAGCGCTGAGACCGTTAGATAATGTGAGCCGACTCATTCAATTAGCCTCCGGCTAGCCCAGGTCCAGAAGGAATAGTTGCTTGTCCGACTCCCGCCACACAGGTCGTCAAGCCTTGGCCCTGCGAGGGTCCCTGCTCCGGGGGCCACACGAGGCGTTGACGAGCTCCGGGCTAGCTACATCCGAGCTGTTCGCCGACGTCGGCAGCGCGGTTTAGGTTCACGAAATACAGCACCTACTTGTCTCGGTAAGCTGATTGTGTGATCATGCGGACTTTCGACCGATGACAGGGATGAGGCATGATCAGACTTACCTTCATCAAACTAGCTACATAGGGTAAGATAAGGTAAGGTAAGTAAGTATGCGACGAGTCAACAGTGCCCACCACTTCATGTAAGTCTGGTTGCTGTCGGCACACACGCCCAAGAGGATCAGATGATTGTCTGCATTCTGTGCGTGTGTGTGCTATATCGGTCGTGAGTCGACCGAAGATTACAGCTTCTGCTGGACTTCTTTAACAGTGAATGGTAACGGGGCAGGTTTAAGAAACGGGCGACGCCAGCCTAGCTGCGGCTCTTTTGTGGTGAGGTCGGATGATCAACTGCTTCCCGTAGAGTCCTGGCCTCGAAACCCCTTGCGGGTGACTGTGCAAGCTCAACTCGTGCCTTCGTTGACCCTGTTCTCCTGAGCTGGGCACTTTGTGTGGGTCATGCACGATGGTAAAGCGCGCCTAACGTCGCTTAAAGTTCAATCTTGCTTTCCGAACTCCGATGTCAGGTGTTTGCAGTGCGCTGAAAGTCCCAGAACCATTGTTCCGGCGTACATGAAAAACTGTCAGAGTGCAGACGTGCAACGACTCGGGTACAATTTCAAAAAATGCTATCGATCCAAGCATCAATGCAAGACACATCAACTTGAAGCTTCACATAGCCCATACCTTGAGGATGTTGACTCTTGGAGGCAACCATTCACAATTGGATACAGCATATTACGCTTCTTGCACGACACCCACTCATGTAGTCACTGGCTACCTCATCACCATTGATCATCCCATCCTGTAATCCTGCATCCAAAGACAGACCCAAAACTTTCTAGCTTAGGAACATGATCATGCTTCAAGTTGAAGACAGTGACATGCCGCTAGGTGAAACAAGACCAATCATTCCAACTCGAATGTGAGGATCAAGTGAAAAGAGCAAAAGAAGAAAGGCAAGGCTCGATTGATTCTCCGCGCTGATTCTGCTGGATAGGCATACCCGATACAAAGTCCTGCTACTAGTCAACAACGTGATCATTCATTCCTGTTTCTCGACTGCCGCTTCGAATATCCAGCGCGGCTGCATACCGCTTGAGAATCTGCCGTAGTAGAGCGAGCTTCCTCCATGTTCTTCCTGACCCCTTCGTCACTGAGCATTCGAATTTGATCACAAACCTCAACTCGGGTATTTTAGTCTTAGCTCTCACGCTGTCGAGAATTACAATCCTTAGGGTTTCCATTGATGCTGTCGTTCCTCAGCACACGTTGAACTATAAATGGTCACGAAACCCTGATCTCTGCAGAGATCTGTTGCGCCACCCCACATCAAGAACCTGCTTGAGCAGCCGCACGGGGTTCGCCATGTTTGAGTGTCGTTGATTTGAATATCGTTTGCCGCACCGCAGGGCTCTGTGTCGCATCGGCAGGCTGAACCCTCGACCCCTTTTAACATGTCAAAATTCCTGCAAGAATTCCTCACACAGAACAAGACCAAGTAGCAACTAATCTGCGTCAGTTATTCGGGCATCTCATGTCATATTCCATGGCTCAATCCATAACCAATAATATTTGGGACTGAGATGCCACCATGTGACCTGCGCGACCAGCCTAGCAGCCCTCGGCGACCCTGAAATCCGCTAAAGAGATGGTCCCCCGCAGCGTGTGAACCCCTGAACGAGTTCTGGCATAGCCGCATGGGGCCCAGTGATCCACAATTGTTGTCTTCACCGTCGCCGGCGCGCGCTGCAGCAAGCACATCGCAGGACTTGATCATGTGCCCCCGACTGGCGATTGAATAAGCCTGATGATAGCCTTCGCGAAAACTTCGCTCAAGGTAGCTGGAACCTTTGGTCATCAGAGCGTTCAACAAGCTCCTAGTATGCCTGTGGCCCTACCCACTGCCAGATTGACGACCATGGCCAAATCATCTGGCACCAGGTGATGTACCGACCAACACTTGGAACCGCCGGCTGGAAATGTCTTCCACCGCCCGCTTTCGGCGCCATCATCGGCAACAAACACGAAATGCCGAGCGCCGTCTGGTATCTGGTCGGAGTACAATATCGATGACTCCTGCAAAAATCAACGCACGATCCAAAGTTTCTGCACCCAACACTCTTCAGGAGCATAACTGAACCCAACATGTCGACAACCACAGTTCTCGCTCCGGCGCAGTCTTATGAGCTTTCGAGCTTTCGACAGCCAGAGCACAACGGCAGCACCCCGCAAACGCCTCCAGGACAGGTTGAGGATGGCCAGCGGCTCGTGGCAACGGCCTACTCCCGGTTCAGCGACATCCAGAAACAGTCGGTTGCGTGGTTCGTTGCCTTCTGCGGACTGCTGGCTTCCATGTCCACGACCAGTATTCTCTCCGCCGTGCCGGAAATCATGGAAACTTTCGACACGACACCAACTGTTATCAACATTAGCAACGCCCTGTACCTCGTCGTCATCGGGCTGTCCAGCTGCTTTTGGGGCCCTTTGGCTGACACGTTCGGCCGCAAACCGGTGAGAAATCATCGATTGCATGAGTGCAGGTGTGTTGACTGACATGGATGTGTTCGCCAGGTCTACACCATGAGCACGACAATGTTCCTTCTGGCATCCATTGGCACAGCGCTTTCGCCGACCCTGGTTGCTTTCTTTTTCTTTCGAGCGTTGACTGCCGTTCAAGTCAGCACATTCCTCATCCTAGGTTCAAGCTGCATTTCGGACATTTACCACCCTGTCAGCTACCCGCTGTCCCATTTTGGGCTCTCAGCGCTAACACCCCCTTCAGATCGAGCGCGCGACTGCCATGGGTTGGTTCCTTCGAGGCACGGTTTTTGGTCCGGCCTTTGGTCCGATCATCTCCGGCATCATCGTCACCTACACGTCCTGGAGAATCATCTTCTGGGTACAGGCGTCCCTGAGCGGTCTAGCGTCCCTACTCTGCTTCTTTATCATGAAAGAAACATTGCAGACGACTCCACGGCACAGAGAACTGCGAGGTCAGGGAGTGCATGCTGCCACTAAGACATTGTGGAAGTCTTTGAACCCAATCCTCGTTTTCCGACTGCTGAGCGAGAAGAACTTGCTCTGCGTGGTGAGTGACCAGAAACCTCGCCAGACAAAGGTTGTAGTCTGGCTCACGATTTTACAGAGCCTTGCTTCGGCATCCATGGCGTTCAACATGTATTCCCTGTTGACGCCAATCCGTTACATCTTAAACCCTAGGCTGGGTCTGACCACGCCTCTGCAATCTGGCCTGCTCTATCTCGCACCAGGCGGGGGCTACCTCCTTGGTAGCCTCATCGGCGGCCGCCTCTCTGATCGTATCGTAAAGTTCTGGATGAAACGTCGTGGCTTCCGCCTCTGGGAGGATAGACTCCGTGGAAGCGTCATCTTGCTTGGCCTTACTCTGCCTGGTTCGACATTACTCTACGGCTGGACGGTCGATCGCGGTTTTGGAGGCATCGGCTTGCCAGTAGTGTGTATGTTCGTCCAAGGCATCAGCCAGACAAGTGCCTTCCCAAGCCTCAACACCTACATCATGGATGTCATGCAGCAAAATAGCGGCAAGGCGTCAGGTAAGGCGTGGACCTCTCCCCATCCATACCGATCCAGTCATCGCTGATAACTCCTAGCCAGTCATTACTTTGTCCGGTATGCTCTCTCGGCTGCTGCGACTGCAAGCTGCATTCCCATGATTGACGCAATCGGCATTGGATGGACGGCTACTATTTCATCTTCCATGGTGCTCGCCGGGTCTGGGCTCGTACTGGTGACGATTCACTCTGGCGGTTCGTGGCGAGGAAACCGGGAACGACGAGCCTGACGTGGCCGTGGTCATTCGCTCCTTGGCCAGAACTCCTAGACAGAGGCGTCAGATGACAATGATTGGACAGTGACCAGGCAGCCACCCCCCACAAAGGTCGCCGAGATATAAGGGGGCTCCTCCTGATGTGTGTCGTTCCTCTCAGCATCCCCAACATCCACCATCATTCATCAATATGAACTCCAAAGTCCGACCCTTTTCGCCTCGCAAGACGCGATCGCAATCGAGACGGGGCACTCCACAAGGTCAACAATCGAGTGCGGCATCGGCCATCACGTCCACTTCCGCTATAACAAATCGACCCAATGCGAGTCCAGTCATTCATGACACCATCAGACTTTTGCCAGAGAAGTTGAGCGCCAACGTCACTCGACTCAGTAGTGTGGGCCACGGGATCCTCCTAAAGAAGCACCTTTGGCTCCGCCAATATAGTGCATCTGGTGTAGCAGGTGCTATTGCAAGAGGGCTGCGCGCCGACGCAACGCTCGTCTTTGGCCAGGAGGAAGCTGGAACCGCCATATGCGTCGACTCTTCGGGTATTCTCCTGACGTGCGCCCATTGCGTCGCTGAGGTAGAGGAGGAGCTGGATCTCGAGAGCAGTCACTGGCTGGTATTCGAATCGGGCCAGATTGTTGAGGCAAAGTGCGTTGCTTGGGATGGCCGTCGAGACCTTGCCTTGCTGAAGGTAGTAGCCGCACAGGGTATGCCAGACCCTCAAGTCTCGGGAGGTCCAAAGTCATCCAGCCAGGGCCGTTGCGGTTTTCCATGTGCGTTGCCCGACACATCCTCTCCTCCGCTGAACGATGTTCTGGTCTGTTTCGGTCACCCAGGGAGCGAGGATCTCGAGTCTGAGCAGCCAGGCGTGGCCACAGGGTACGATGTACTGGTGATGAGCGAAGGTCGCTTCAGGGGGTACGCGGAAGGCCAGGATCCTCAGGACAATGAGAAGATTGGAGCCCTCAAGCATGACTGCTGGACGTACTGGGGCCACAGCGGCGCTCCTCTTTTTCGCAAACGGTCAAAACTCCTTGTTGGATTACATTCGAGCTGGGACGATGAGACGGGTATGCGTAGGGGTGTGCCCGTCGAGGCCATCTCTGATTTTCTCGTAGAGCATAGTCAGCACCTGGGTCGTAAATGACTGAGCTTATACTTTTCACCAGCTCGAATATAGAAGAATCCATGTAGCTACAGTTTTGCTTGTGCATTGCGTGAATGGCGTGAAACGGGTTTGCATGGTGTTAAGGTTGTGTCTCCACCGGTAGGCCGACCTTTCTCAAGGGACATCATCAAGCACAAGAGGAAGGCACGACAACCCGAACCTTCCCTCAGATGTTTGCACAAGCAGAGCTCTTTGGAGAATTTCCCGTGCCCGGACTATTCAGATAAAGAAACCCACAGAGAACAGTCAATGCAAACTACACTACGGATCACTATTCAACTACATGCCCTGCCCCGCGGCCTCCTGCCTACACACCAACTTGACGACGAAGCGACGACATCATCGTGAACCTCAATAAGGGCATTTTCGACGACTAAGCAAGAAATCCGCAAACCAGGCAACGGTAGAGAACGCATAAAGGTCTTCGTGTCGTCCTCTGAAAACTCTGATCCCGTAAGTCTCGATCTCCTTCACGTATGAGCCATCTCCATCTTCGTCGGAAACCCCATTCAGCAGATCAAACACCCCCAGCAAGGTCGTCAGATTGCAATCACGATGGCTAACCCTAAGCGTTGCGTCTTCTGCAGCATCGCCACTGTTGCGAGCGTGCTGGTCATCATATCCACCTCCTTCCTCGTTGCTCTCAAGAACGGCAGCACCACCGGAGCCACCATGGCCACCAGCATCACCACTACCTCTGACACCAAGATATACGGCTACTACCCTCCCCCCACCACGGGCGCGGCCGCCCAGGACGACGAAGGCTATACCAAGACCTACACCCTTCACGAGCTCATCTACACCGGCACCGCCAAGGAGAGAATCCTCCGTGGCTTCCTGCTCGGCAGCCTGCTGGGCCTGCTCCTCGCCCTCTGCTGCTGTTGCTGGCTCCCCTTCTTCCGCGACGGCATCCAGGTTGACAACGAAGCCGGAAATACACCCCTCCCGGGCAACCGTCGTGCCCGTCGCGCCGCTGCCGCCGCGGCCCGCCGCGCCAATCAGCGCACCAACAGTCGCCAGCCCCGCGAGAGCGCCGACGGCATTGAGCTCGCCGACATGGCCGGTCACGCTCGCCGTGGCAACAGCGCCAACCAGACCGTCATGTCTGGCGCTCTCCCCGCCGACCCCGAAGCTGGCGTTGCTGGCCCTTCCACCAGTGGCCTGGGACGCAGCCGCGCCGCCCTTGCCCGCGCTATGCGCAACAACCGCCGCAGTGACTGAGGGGGGGAATCTGGGAGCATCACCCTGGAGGATGATTCAAAAGGGAGACGGAGATAGCTTCAAACGACTCGGAGTTTTAGAAGATTAAGTTGTTTTCAGAAAACCCCAGTAGTCATATCAAAACCCCTTTGCTGCCTGTAGGCTCACCAAATCCTCTGTTCTTTGACCTTTGATGCATATGGCTGTTCTTCGGGAACGAATTTTCAGACAGGTGTTGGTAATGCCATTTGGCCTCTTGCTGTCCATGGCCTCGTTGTCCGGTGCTTGCCGTCCGGTTCGACATTCTGGCGTCTGTCCTGTGACAGGCGAAGTTCCGTTACATGACAGCTTTCATCCTACCAAGGTCTTTCCTGGCATCTGGGTTTGTAATCTTTCTCCCAGCATGGCAAATCTTGCTTTGCATCTTTCCGTTCAGCTGGAAGAAAGAAATGGATCACCAGAATGAAGTGCCGCAAGCACCAGAGACCGCGTTCAGGGCCACGCCCCGGTGACGTGCCGAGACCTGGCCCCATGGGGAAAGAAAACCTGCAACCCCGAACATGACCAATGCACTGCAAAGAAGTCGAGTCATTGGCAAAATGTGCCCACTCGTCGGAGTCGGAGGTACCAGATTGAATCTAGCACAGGCTCGCGGGCGATCGTCGGCACCTCACCGAAGTTCAACCGTGTCGTCGCGGCCCGGGTCGCCGTATCGAGCCACTCCGGAGCCAGCACGAGGCTCCTTCGACTCAACTTGTGGCTGCAGGTGGACGCACTGCAAGAGCCGGACTTACATCATAACCGCGAGGGATTCTCCGTCGATGGCAAGGGTTAAGGCGGGCCCATGGCGGGCCTTCCGCAACCCATTTCTTAGGCTCCGACGAGGTTGTGTAGCACAGGAATAGGAAGCACCATAAGAGGCGACTGACGGCCGCTTGCACTCAGTGAAAGTGCAGTACGCCGACTCGTTTTTACCCCCACCTCCTTCATCTTGTATACCATGACGACCACTTCATCAACTGTCGAGCTCGAGTCGGTCGACTACCAGCATGCCCTGCCACTCAAGGATATCGGTGGACTCGCCTCTGAGGGTCGGCGCCTGGGATCACACGAGGGGCCCAGGGACGCTGACATGGGCGTGAGCGATAGCTTGCCTGCGCCTACGACATCGACGCCTGTCGTTGAGAGCTGGAAATACCCTCGCTCCAATTTGTTCCGCGTCGCAGCTACGTTCTGGAGTTTCCTCGTCTGTGGCGCCAACGATGCTGCCTATGGTGTATGTTTCTTGGTTGCCCACTTGCAATACCACAGCTAACATCCTTCGCAGGCATTGATTCCCTATGTAAGCAATAGCTGCGCCGCGAGAATGGCCAGAACAGCCTGGTTGACTGACTGCCTTCCCACCAGCTCGAATCCTACTACAAGCTTGACTACATTATCGTGTCTCTCCTCTTCCTGTCGCCTTTTGTCGGCTATGTCCTCTCTGCCGTCTTCAACAACTGGCTGCACATCAAGTTTGGCCAGCGAGGCATTGCCGTACTCTGTGGCACCTGCCATCTAATCGCATACATCATCGTCTCCCAGCATCCGCCCTACCCTGTCCTCGTCGTCGTGTATGCCCTCGCCGGTTTCGGCAACGGCATTGGCGATGCTGCGTGGAACGCGTTCATCGGCAACCTGTCAAATGCAAACGAAACACTGGGGTTCCTGCATGCCCTGTACGGCGTCGGAGGAACCATCAGCCCTCTCATCGCGACGACAATGATCACGGAGGGTGGTCTTGAGTGGTACCACTTCTACTATGTCATGGTATGCGTCACCTCGCCCCATGCTGCATTTGATTGAGACGACAGACACTGACCCAACACAGATTGGCATGAGCGTCATAGAGCTGGTCGTCTGCACGGCTGCCTTCTGGAAGAACACAGCAGCCAGCTACCACGAGACGACACAGGCAAACAACGACGACAACACGGGGCTGCGCGCGGCCCTCTTCTCGCGGCCCTACGCACGCGTGACCTGGATCTGCGCCGCCTTCCTCCTCGCCTACGTCGGCGTCGAGGTCTCGCTCGGCGGCTGGATCGTCCAGTTCATGATCCGCGTGCGCAACGCCGACCGTTTCCCCGCCGGCATGACATCCGTCGGCTTCTGGCTGGGCTTGACCGTCGGCCGCGTCGTGCTCGGCTTCGTCACGCCGCGGCTGGGCGTCAAGGTCGCCGTCGCCGTCTACCTGCCCGCGACCATGGCGCTCGAGCTCGTCTTCTGGCTCGTGCCGCAGTTCTACGTCTCGGCCGTCGCCGTCGCGTTGCAGGGTTTCTTCCTGGGCCCGCTGTTCCCGGCCGTCATTGTCGCGGCGACGAAGCTGCTGCCGAGACACCTGCATGTGAGCACCATTGGATTTGCGGCGGCCTTTGGAGGCAGCGGTGCCGCCGTGCTGCCGTTTGCTGTGGGTGCCATTGCGCAGGCCAAGGGCGTCCAGGTGTTGCAGCCGATTGTCCTGGCCATGTTGGTGGTGCTGCTGGGGCTCTGGTTCTGCCTGCCCAGGTTTGGGTCAGCAAAGAGGGATTAGATGGTGATTGTCATATTTTGCCGTGGAGAAATCGGTGATTCACAAGCAAGTTAATTGATAATGAATTGCTTCGTTCCATGTTTATCACGGTTGGACATTGTGGTCACTGCTATGTTGCCTGCCTGCGTTCAGTTGCTTGCGAAAGGTGAATGAATGGTGGGTAGGCTGAATGAGGAAGGAAGGAGCAGACACGAAAAGCGGGTCTGCCGCTGTGCCATTTCTCACAATCAAAAGGACCGTGCACATCCATCACGGGAATTCGTTTTTCCGACAATACGCACGGACCAAGCTCTTCCAACGCTAGCAGACCAAAATTTTGAGCCATGATGGATGGATCCACAGCCCGAGTCTATCATCTTCGACGCGGCCTGCCTCCTTGCTTGGAAGAACAAGTTCCGACATCACGATACCACCATCTACACCCGCCTCTTCGGACTCCACCCCTATCCGCGTCTCAGCAAGACTGAAGTTGCCAGCGACCTCCTTCCCCAAATTCACAGACGCAACCCCTACACCGCCAAAATGGTCCAGCTTGTCGAGGTCGAGGACGAGCACTTCCAGGGCAACCCCAACGTCATCCAGGACGACGATGCCGACTTCACCGACACTGGTACGTCCTGTCATCCACGTCCCCATCGGATACCATCGAGCGGCATCTCGACGAGCTTCATTGAGCTTCAACGAAGCTCGTCAGCCCCAGCTCCCAGCTCGATGACGTGACGTCTGATGCTTCGGCATCATCGCCCCTATCATCGTCCTCATCACTAACCACGTATCCCTTTTCCCAGACTCTGAAATTTCTGCCGACAGCGACTTTGATCCCTCCGAAGAGACCCTCGCCGAGCGCCTCGCCGCCCTGAAGGACATCATCCCGCCGACAACCCGCGGCTGGATCGGCTCCCAGGTCAACACGGGCGCGAGCATCGTCCAGAACACGTGGTACTACGGCTCGCGCACCCTCTGGCTTGTCTGCGCCACGGCGCTCATGATCGGTGTCCCCCTCGCTACGTGCTGGGCCGAAGACCAGCAGATTGAGGGTATGGAGCGCGAGTACCGTATGCGTGAGATGGGCGGCGAGCTGCTCACCGCCGGCGAGGGCCAGGAGGGCAGCACCGCCGACATGCTGGGCGAGTCCCTGGGCGCTGGCAAGGCCGAGGCCCGCCCGTCGCTGTAAACGTATTCACATCTCGCATCTAATCGAAAGACGGACAGACGGACGAGTTGGGGGGAAGAAAAGTGGACACGATTTTTTTTGGCTGTTCTTGTACATTACGCACCCCAGCCTGCGACGATCGGAAAGCAATCAGGAAGTGCCCTCGGGAAATTCACGGTCGACTGAATTTGCGAGGCAAGCGACGGAAGAACGCACGGGAAGGAACGCGCATGGTCAAGGGACGGGCTGTTGCGTTCGTGTATTATTTTTTGGAGGGGAGGATTAGCAAAGGGGCCGCGGGCCCTTGCGAGGAGGAAGGGCGATGATGGCATGGGGATGCTCTCAGCTCACGGAACTACGGTTCCCCTGTACTTGTGATACTAGAATATGGAGTCACAGAGATGGCTACCAATTGATGACATTGACAAATTGGTGGCTGATCGCCGTGACATGGAAACTCTACGTGATATCGTTGTCGCGGTTGATGCCGGAGCGACGCCCTTCGCGCAGAGCGGAGCCCGCCGAGGTGCCCAAATCTCGCATGCTGCGAAACCCACGGCGCTTCATAGAAGCACCACCTCGTACCACAATACAGTACCGTCACACACGATATTCCCTTCTCGTAACAGGCGACTTCGTTTGAAAGAGAGCCAGATACCGCCATGGATTTCAAGGCCCTCCCCAAGATCGAGGTGTGTTTTCCTCAGTTGAGCCTCACCTCACGGCAGCGACGTCTACAGTCTCCGACTACCAGGCTCACTGTTCATAACGCCGCACGAAGATCATGACACTTCCATCTTGCGTCAAATAAAGACTAACGGCCCAGCTCCACGCTCACCTCACCGGCAGTGTCTCCCGCCAGACCCTCCACGACATCTGGGCCACCAAGCACGCCGCCGGCACCACGACCCTCGACGACCCCTCGATCGTGATGCCTGCCGGGAAACATGACTATAATCTCGAGACGTGAGCCCCCTCTACTCATACCGATGTTCATTCTCGTCTTTTCCTTCGGGCCCAGCAGCCAGTCGGCCCAAGCAAAGCACCCAGCGCTCACACGCGCACAGCTTCTTCCCCCTCTTCTCCTCGTACATCTACGGCCTCCTCCCCGACGCCGCATCCCTGACGCGCGCCACGCGCTCCGTCCTCGACGACTTTGCCGCAGACGGCGTCCTCTACCTCGAGCTCCGCACCACGCCGCGCCGCACGACCGAGATGACAAAGGAAGTCTACGTCCGCACCGTCGTGGCCGCCATCCAGGCATGGGAAGCCGACCAGACGGCGAGCCCAGCGCCAGGCAGCAGCGCCCCGCGCATGCGCATGTGCACGCGCCTCATCCTCAGCATCGACCGCCGCGACGCACTGCCCGAGGCGCACGAGGTGCTCCGCATCGCCGACCTCCTGCGTCGCGAGAGCGAGAGCGACATGATCGTCGGCGTCGACCTCTGTGGCGATCCTGCCAAGCGCACGCCGTCTGACCCGCGCGGCTCCGTCGCTGTCTTCACCGACGTGTTCCGCGCGGCCAAGGCCCAGGGGTTTGGCGTGACGGTGCACTTTGCAGAGGCCGAGGTGTCGGGGACGGAGGAGGAGCTCGGGGTGCTGCTCGGGTGGCAGCCGGATCGGCTCGGGCACGTCATCTGTCTGAGTCCTGCTGTCAAGGAGGCTGTGAAGAGGCGAGGCCGCGAGGGGGGCATCGGGCTGGAGCTGTGTCTGAGTTGTAATGTGCAGGCCAAGATGGTCGAGGGCGGCTTCGGGGCCCATCATTTTGGAGAGTGGTGGGGCACCGAGGGGTGTCATGTTTCGCTCGGCGTAAGTCAGAGTTTTGGTCCGAATGTTGAGGCAAAGCAGTACTGACCAGGACAACAGACGGACGATGTCGGTGTATTTGGCAGCCCCCTCTCAAACGAGTACAGGCTCGCTGCAGAGCACTTCAACCTTTCGAATGCCCAGGTCTGCGAGCTGGCGCTGCAGCCCATCCCGAGCATCTTTGGCGGAGAGGCGATCCAGGTGCAGTTACGGGGGGCCATGTGGAAGCCAGAGGATCACAGGTGAGGCGTTTGTTGGTCATGGGTATTTCGTCAAGATTTGCTATCCAGCTTCACAATCCGGCGGGGTATCGACTACAAGTACATCTAAAATCAAGCCTCCCACCCGCTATTTCTACGCGTCACCAACCACCGCTCTGTTCATGATCTATTCGTCATCCGGATCTCCCATCCTTCATCGTATCTCAGTCTTGATATGTTGCCAAGACACAGTAAACATTACTAGAGACGTGTGTGCTTTCTCACCCTTCGTCTTACAACAGATGCAAGGACATGACCCCAACTGCGATTGCTACAGCCTGCGTCCAACGTATTGTCAGAGACGTAGAAGAGCTCGGCTCCAAGCTGAGCAAATCGCCACCAGGACTAGTCTTCGTATTGTCGTTCTCGGGTCGCGCTGAGGGCTGACTATTGTTGTTGTTGTTGTTATTATTATTGTTGTTACCATTGCCAACACTCTGTGAAGGGGTTGGCGTTGGAATAAGTGCTTGGCTGGGTGTTGTGCTCGTGGTGAATACGAGCGGCGAAGTGGTTGTGGAGGGCTCAGCTGGCGGCAGACTAAAGCTAGACACCGTCTCCACAGGAGGCGACGGAGTGGACACGAGAGATGGTGTTGTGATAATGGGAACGAGTGATCGCGTCGTTGACGTCGGCAACACCCTCCTGGTCGAAGATGTGCTCGATACTGTAGTGCCGCCGCCATTGGGACACAAGAGAGCCGGAAGGTTGCCCAGCAGAGCCTGCGCTAACAATGTGTCGATCGGCGCAAAGACGCCGCCACACTCGCTTTGGATATCTGCCTGCATTGCCTCGATACCCGCTTTGCATTCTGCAGAGCAGAGAGCGCCCTGGAAAAAGTCCGACCTCCGGCATCCTCCGATCGGTGCTGTGTAAGCAAGTCTGCAGGCGATTGGTATATTTTGCGTCGTCGACAGTGGGTCGAAGCTTGTCAAAGACATCTGGGCTGACGCAATGCTGGCCATGAGAAGTACCAGGGCGGCGAATCGTGATGTTTGTGGCCAGGTCATGATGAGTGACCTTTGGTATGAAGCGGAATTTGGTGGTGCTTGAAGCTGTGGTTGAGGCGACGACGTGGGGCAGACAGGTTATATCCCACGGGACTGGCGCCTAGCGGCGAGTATACCGAATCGCGGGATGACGGGGTCTCGCGTTCTTGGTCAGGCGCAGCTCGCACTGCAGTCTCGAAGAAGGCAAGAACTGAGACGCTCCGCGTGTCAGGAGGGACGGCAATGACGAAGTGATCCGCTGTGGACGAACGGTGGCCCGTGTGCCCAGTTAGGAGTACAGAGGGACGAGTAAAGACTGCGGCTAAGGCTGCGGTCGAGGATGATGCCGCGGCGACGCGAACCAGATTGAGAGCCTTGCAAGATCGATATTGAGTACGATTTAGGTCGGGAAATTGGACTGTCTGAAAGACGAAGGCGTGGCAGGACTCGGTTGAGCAAACGCGGAGGTATCGTCAAGATAAAGGGTCGCCGTTCCTGGGGGTATGACGAGGACAAGAGAAGATCCGCAGGGAGTGCAAGGGATGCTAGCTCTCAAGGGACGATCATATATCCTGATTGAGTTCGTGAGGGAGGGAGGGAAAGGTATCCCAGACTCGATGAAGCAGCGTAAAAGAAATCGCCAGTAGCCCAGGTGGTCGAAGCTTGGTCGGTCAGTTTCACAACCTTGTGTGTGACGGTGCCTAGAAGAGCAGCTCGGATGATAACTGGTGGAGTGTTTGGTATCGAGGTCAATGTTCAGACGGAGGTCGAAATTCGCCGAGCGAGGCAGACAAAAGTGAGGTACAGGAGACAGACTTCGGGGACCAAAAGAATGGCGATGGTCAATAAAGGGCGGCTAGATATGGAAAAGAAGAAGTCTCGTGAAAGCTCTAAGCGGTCGAGAAGAGGATGGGGGCCACCGTCAGGAATGTAGGCTTTAATGGCCATCGTCAGCGAACAGGCAGCGCCCACTGAAACCAGCACCCTTCCCACATGTTGACCCGTCCCCTTGCCATCGGTTGACATTCCACATGGCCTATTGTGGCACGGGGTCCAGCCCAGGCATTGGCCATGGGTTGCAGCGCTGGTTGTCGCTCGTCAGGCGTCTTGTAGCTTCTCCTCCAGCCAAACGAATCGATGGCTGGCTGCTTCTTCATGTTCAGGGGATCAAGGGGGTGAGGGGGGCGGAAGGGGGGCGAACGAATGATCCGCCGCCCTCTGCAATTGTTTCGACTCCTGCAGATAACCCCTTGATGGGCCAAGAAGGGCTCCTGGTAGCTGATCTCTGGGGTTGTTTGCCCTGCGTCACGGAGTAGCGGACGAGGATCTGGCTTGAGTACAGCTCACGGAAAGAGGCAAAAAGACGAAACAAGGAAAATCAGGAGTCGAGTTTGAGACCAGGAGCCTCTGTGCGCGCTGACGGGTGCGATTGGCCGGCATCGTTTGTCCCTTCCCTTAGCGACCCATGGCGCGTGAGGAAGGCGCTCAAACGCGGAGCCAATGGTTGAGTGCTCCTGCTGTTCCTACGGGCGCCTCTCAGCTGCAAGGCGAGAGCGAGGGGACCAGGTGCAGCTTCCCTCGTCCCTTTCCATGTTGCAGGCAGGCGCAACTACGACCTAGAACTGCCCAAAAAGGCACAAGGCTGGCGGAGCGGGGCGGCAATGAGGCAATCTCAGGCCTCACTGTGCCCCCCCGCAACCGGTAGCGTGGACAATAGGGCGACATTCCATCACCGCGCATTCCAGCGTCGACGTGCTTCCATGTCGCCGGATCACTAGCCATTGTCTTGCCTCGGCACCTTGTTGCGCACAACCGTTTCTGAAAGCGCTAAGCTGTCGGCCTCCCTCCAGTGCAGATTCTTCCGAACTCTCGACAATGGCCTACCAACGACGTTGCCGCCCGCCTTCGAACGGCCACCATGTCGGCCACCCTTTCACCGTGAGCCCAGGTCTAGCGTCGAGACATTGGCACGCGATCAGCCCCCCCATGCTGGAGTGGACCTTGATTCAACGGCGTGGGGTCTAGAAGCTTTCTACAGCTTGCACCTCCCTCAAATCGCTCTTTCTCGCAGTGTGTCAGCACGCACTGACTGCCTATGATGCTTCTCTAGCGTGTCTGTTCGCTTAAGAACATGAACGGGATCGACTCTGGTCTTGCTGACAGAACCACGAGGCACGATGCTGGGCCCAAATGTGCAGGAATCCTGCATCGTCACAATCCTTTTGCCTGATACCCTTTCGCCATGAACCTGACCACATTGGTCCTCGACAGAAGGTCATGGAGATCTTTTGGTGTCGTTCGCACCATACTCGACCTAGTACCAATGCCTGCAACTGGACAACGACAGCTACGCCTCACCTGACAGGGGCCTGGATCCTGCGGGGCTATTTTCGGAACATCGTCAGTCTCCAGAGCGATCCTTAAGGCATGACTGCCCCTTGTTGCGATTTCGAAGATGTCAGAAGACTCTTTTTGTGAAAATCACGGACGACCAGCGGCCGCTTCCGTTCACCGTGCTCAGCATGCGGCGAAACTCCGTCTTGTCCGGTGGCGGGGTGCCCGGCCCACCTGGCCGCATCCACCGGAAACCGGTCGGCTCCAACCAGTATGAAGCGGGTCAGTTTTCGACGCAACGCCGCAACCATCTATCAACTAATGATACGTAGTTCAAGCCGATGAAGAGACAGTCCTCGCGGCTTCGATCCAAGATGTAACCGAATGGCTCATGTCAGGCGGCTCGGGACGTCATCTTGAAGAACAGCCTAGTCTTCGGGCGCCACCACTAACAGGGCATGCAAATGAGGTGCCCCAGTACGCTCTGTCACCGCGACTAGTCCGCAGCACGGTGAAACGAAGTGTCACTCATCACATTCAAAGCGACGCCAAGATATCCCAAAGACCTAGCATCAGCCATGGCAGCTATTCCTCTATGCATTCTGGCGATACCAGGCAGCCGCTCATGTGGAATTCGTTATGGCTTCGGCGTATTGTACTGCTCGGCTTTTCCCTCGGATGTTGCTGCATGAGCCTCGCTATAGCATTGCTGTATCACTTTTCTCTGGAGAACAACGGACTCAGTACGCAAAAGCAAGCCAACCACCTCGGATGGAAGTACGGACCTACAGCACGTGAGTTGTTTCCATCCGCTGCGAATGAGTAGAAGACTGATTCCACAGTGCTTGTGATTGTCGCCGCTCTCTGGCGGCAAGTTGACCATGCAGCCAAGGTCCTAATACCCTGGCAAGAGCTGAAGTCCGGTCCTTCGTCCCCTCATAAGAGTCTCTCGTTAGACTATGTTTCTCCATTGGTTCCGACAAGCCTATGGAGAGCTCTCAGCAATGGACATTTTGTAGTCGTTAGCACCATCTTCTGCTGGCTTTTGATATTGCTCACTGTTCGTTTCCTGAAGCATCCGTTTGCTACTGCCACTGACAGCTCCCAGACCGTCTTTTCCACCGGCCTTCTGGTACTTGAGCCAACGGTGATTGTTCGAGAGGGCGTTGCAATTCCTATCCAATCAACGTTCGACGCGCAGGGCTATCAGATCCCTCAGCTAGGCCCAGCGGCTGCACAACTATATTACGCCATAAACTTTCAGGGCCTTCCCTATCCCACGGGCACCTCCGCCGACACGGTAGTTCCTGAGATCGGTCTACCTGACTCCCCGGCCCAGGCAAACTACTCGGTCGTCACCCGAGGGGCCAAGGTTGGGTTTGAATGCGATCTACTACCCATTCAGAATGCGACTCAAGTCATGCTTCCATGGTACAGCATCAACGGCATGTTCTGGACCATCGATGTCGCCACCCCAGAGTGCAACATCAGCAGCGCTATTGTCGCAGCCGGCCCCGACTCGAACCACTATGTCCAGGAAAACGCGACTCAAAACTTCCAAGGCGTTATGCAGGATTATACGTGCAACAACGGCGTCGAATACAGCCGTTTGCACGATATGACTACCAATTACACGGAAGAACAAGTGGTTAATGCCAGCATGCCACATCGTGTGCTCCTGACCATGGCCGATCTGCGGTTTACGCCCATGAATCGTTCGCTCACACGGCCTGAGAGGATCTACATTCAAGATTTCACAGCTGCATTGTGCACCTACCACTACACTTTGGATGATTTTGAGGTTGAATCACTTGTAGAGTCCGGCAGCAGAAAGCAGGCAGTCATGCAAGCAACTCACCACCAAGGTGCACATGAGCTAGAGATTCCTGGATTCCCGAAAAGCATGCTTGGGAAGTCTGTGGAGTATGCAACTCGGTTGTTAGATGTCGGGACCGGCGGCGTGGATTTTGTTCTGTCGACCCCCGTCACGTCGTTGTTCCGGCTTATGACGATCAAGCAAAACAGAACCACCATCGGTGCTTTCATGGACCCAGATCTCCTGATCTCGACAGCGTCAGACGTGTTCAAAGGTGTCGGTACACAGCTCCTTGGCACCATGACTTTGAATCCTGCCATTGCATCGACTGAGAAGGGTTCTGTCGCTATGGTGGAGGATCGCCTGCACGTCACTGAGCTATCTACGGCCTTTATGTGTGCGTTCCTATCTTTGGCCACAATCCTTAGCCTTGCAGTGGTGTTTCTGCGCCCTTTGGATGCGATCCATCGCGAACCCGGATCCATCGCAGCGACAGCTGCAGTGCTGGCATCAAGCCCGGGACTTGAAAAACTTCTGCTCGGTCTAGGAACTTCGTCGCAAGCTGCTATTTGCAACAGGCTATCAAGCTTCAACTTTCGGAGTTCCTACTATTCAGGACCTGAGCCCGCCTTCGTTGTCGAAGCTTTGGACAGTGGACTTGCATCCATCGAAGAGAACAGGCGGGGCCATCGCGACACGTGGTGGCGTCCTCTGGCTGGGGAAGCTTGGTTTCTTGTTCTCGTTATCACCCTGTCACTTGCCATGATTGCTACCCTGGAAGCTTTGCAACGATCATCAGATAAGCGTGATGGCCTCTTGGATATCAACGAGTCAGACTCGCTACTTTTTGCAACGTATGTACCTGCTGCCGTGGCAATCTGCCTTGCGGGTATGTATTCAAGTTTCGGGTCGATGGCGGCTACTTTTGCCCCGTATTCAATCCTCAAGCAACGCAACGCCACCCCCGAGCGGTCGATCACTCTTCGGCTCGTTGGGAAGCTGGCACCACATGCGCTTCTAGATGCACTCAAAACACGACATTTCAGTGTCGCCATCATTCTCGCGGCGAACTTCGTTGGCGGCTTCTTGACGATCGTAATCTCAGGCCTTTACAGTGCCATTCCAGTTAACGACACTCGACCCGTGATGCTGCAGCAGACGGACGTCTTTGATCTGTCGGCTGGCAATATCTCGCTTGAGGACAATCAAGCGGCAGCAATCACTTCGCTCATAGAATATATTGGCCTACCAAGTCCCCAGTGGACTTACGAAGACTTGGTTTTCAACACCATGCATCCGATCATGAGCCCCTCTAAGCAGGACTTGTCACATGAACAACCCCTTTCGGCCATGCTTCAAGCTGTGAGACCTGATCTGGACTGCTTCGCCATACCATCGAATGATCGTCATATCCAAGTGTACAGTTACACAGACGGCCTGACGGTGATGCCTGGTATGACTGATGTATACCCCGGTAGACCAGGAGAGCTCTTTGTCAAGGTAAACACAACTTTGAGGGCAGAATGTTCACGGCCTCTCGCAAACTCTACTGTAGCTTCCAAAGACTGGCTCCAGTACTTTGTCATTCCGGATGACGAATCTGTCACCCACGTAGGCAAAGCATCCCTCCTTGGCTGGTTTGATGACACAAAGATTATCACCTGGGGCGACGGAGCAACAGACACAAGCCCTGGATCGGGATCAGGCATGGGCGTGGAGGGTATCACGCTCGGGGACTCGGGGTGTCCGTCGATGGCTTTCACACTGGGGACCATACGGGCAGGCCGATCTGGACGTAGCGAGAAAGCAAGGCAGTTCGCTGTGGAGAGTGACCTTGCGACACTCGTGTGCTACCAAAGAGCGGATCAAGTCATGGCGAACGTCACATTCAGCGCACCTTCTATGACCATTGACACACTCGTCCCTCCCATTCTTGACGAATCAACAAGGACAGTCTTGGCAGACCCGACCACGAACACCACGTCCTTCGCGTATCCCATCAACCGTCTCTTGCTCTCAATCGCAAACTCGCTGACGGCCAACACGACAGAATCGGACGGCATCGCGAGCCTGGATGGTTTCAGTCGCGCTCTCCTTTCCGGACGCGGAGCGCAGACGATCGAGACGTTAGCCGGGGAAGCAAACGTGGACAACCTGCGCAAAGCGGCCACAAGGCTGTACAAGACGTACATGGCCCAGGCTATCTCGGCCAACATGCGACGGGATGCGGAGCTCTTGCCTGCGTATGAAGGGAGGCTGACCTCGAGTGCGAGGCGCAGGCTGCAGCAGAACAACGGACCAAAGATTGCGCTGCAGGTGATGCTGGGACTCATGGTCGTATGTATCATTGCATCGCGCCTGTTGATGGATGTACGGACGGTGCTGCCGCATGACCCCTGCTCTATCGCGGGTGTCGCCACGTTGTTGGCTGGTAGTGATATGGTGACAATGGTGGAGGGGTCAGAGTGGGAGGACGACAAGGGCCTGGAGACCCTCTTTCGGGGCAAAAGGTTTGGATTGGACTGGTGGGGGAAAGGGGTTGGCCGGCGCTTCGGCATAGATGTTGAGTGTGAGGCTATTTGATGCCCAAGATGATGATGTATCGCAGGCACTTCACGTAGGGGAGAATCACGGTGCGTTTCGTTCTTGCTGCTTCCAAGACGGTATCAACACTCACTGCAATGCAAGAGGCAAGATGCAAGGTATGCGTGGTATAAGATGAATGATGTCAAGGTTCAGGTGACCAGCTGATTTGATGAAAAAAAAAAAAAGACGAGATATCAGCGGCAAATCAATTGAATATATGGACGTCTTGAAAGCAGAACAGAGTGCGCCGAACCAAGGAGTCAAAAATGCAGTGCAGCCCGTATCGAACAAAGTAAAGCAACGCTAACGCCCCCAAAAATAAAGACTGCCTCACGAAGACTGTTTCTCAAAGTGGTCACGCTCCTACATGGACCTCTTGCCCAACGGCGGGCTGGCCCGCCTGTCCGTTGCCTTCGCCTGGCGCTGGTCCGTCGTCGGGCCCATGGGGCGAAAGCGGCTTCTTGGGATCGTAGCCAACGGCCTTGACGATGCCAAGTCCCTTTGTGCGGCCCTCACGGAAGAGCAGGCGGTCCCCTGGGGCGAGGTACTCGGGGCGTTGCATGAAGCGGAAGGCCACGGTGGCGCGGTCACCGGTCCGGATGTACGGACGATCAACGTCGATGATGGCGCACGTCTGCGAGACGGGCCCGACATGAAGCATGGCCTGATACCGCGTGCGAATGGTCGTTGCGTGGGACAGGATCAGCACTGCTCTTCTCGTTAGTGGCAGACATCAAAAAGGGGGAAGATGGAGTGGCACGAACCCTCAGCGATGAACTCCTTATGCACCTTGGGGTTAGGCTGTCCCTCGAGCTTCGGCAGCACGACCATGCCCTTGCGGACATCCTTGCGGCGAATCTTCTTCAGCGCGAAGGACGCAGACTGGCCAGCAGATGCCGCGGGAACGCCCAAGCGCTTCCTCTCAATCGAACGGATGCTGGTCGTCATGAACTGGCCGAGAGAGTCGGGGCCGATAAGAATGTTGTCTCCGGCGTGGATCACGCCAGACTTGACGATGCCGGACACAACCGTACCGACAAAGGGGACGGAGAAGGTGTCGTTGATGTGGAACTCAAAGGGCGCCTCCGAGTCATATCGGCCGTGGTGGGGAAGGATATTCAAGAACGTCCTCACAAGATCGAGGTTAGCGCCTGTGACGTTCGACACCTGGAACACGGGGCAGATTCTCTGGCTGATGAACTGCGTGGCTGTGTTGATGCATTCTTCTCGATCCTTGATGAAGATGGGAATCTTCTTGGCGCCTGGACTCTTCAAGATTTTGGTAATCTGACTGATGGTCTGCTCGAGAATCTGGGGCGGACAGATGTCGACCTTGGTGATGACAACCATTACGGGCACATTGAGGGCTAGCGCGATGCCAAGGTGCTCCTTGCTCATACCAATGAGACCGTTGTTCGCCGCGACCATGAGCAGGCAGTAATTGGGGCTGCTGGACAGTAGACCGAAGACCGTGGTGCGTAGATACTTCTCGTGGCCTGCCAAGTCAGTGAAGGTGATGACCTTGGAGCTGCGCTTGCCAATCTCCTCCCACGAGAGTTTACCTGTATTCGTTAGCTGGCAGTATCTAACAGCTTGCGACGAGAACCACCTACGTCCAGGCACATCAGAGACAACGACCTGACCGGCGGTGTCAAAGCCCAAAATCTCCATGCCGACGGAACTGGTCCTCCCGGACTCGATTTCGTGCTTGTGGCGGAAAAGGTTGACTCGAGCTTTCCCCCGGCCGTCGTCAAGGTCACCCTTTACAAGGACGCCAAGCAGCGAGCTCTTTCCAGCGTCGACTACACCGTCTTGTTAGCAAGATCGCGAATTAGGCAGGTGATTGATCGTCTGACCATTGCCGACCACTGCTATCCTGGTTTCGATGACGTCCTCCACCGTGTTCGGCTTCTGCCGAATCATGACCTTGCCGGAGCAGTCCTTGTCTTTGCTCGACTTGGCGCTCGGAGCTTCCACTTCTCCACCCACATGCTTCGTGAGCAGCAGCTGGCAGTTGGCATGGACCAGCTGAGCTGCTTCGTCTAACCTCTTGTACGCGGTATGCCACTGATCGAGGTCAAGACCCAACGAGTCGCCATTGTTCTCAAAGCCGAGGTCGAACACAGTCTCGCCATGCCCCTCCTCTATCCTCTCAGCCAGGTTCTTGCTGAGCTGCTTCAACGTCTCTTCGTCGGCTCCGAGAAGCATGTCCTTGAGCCTGACACTCGGGCCTGTCGCATCGCCGAGGTCCAGGTTGTCGAAGAGCTCGTCAAGCTCAGCATGCTGGTGTTCGTCATGCGAGCCCGCGACGGGCTTCGCAGCGCCGTCGGCGGCGGGTTTGGTGCTCGGGTAGCGCAGCGACTGCTGCTGCTCGACGTATTCGGCAAAGTCGCTGAGGGCAGCCTCCCCTATGCGCTTCTCGTGGGCTATTGCCTTGTTGATATTCTTGGTCGCCATGGCGCAGTGGATGGCGGCTTTCTATGCTGGTAATCGAGGTAATCGGTCTAACATGGAGTGGTATCTTCGTAACAAGGACTTTGCGGACGCGGTGCGGCAAGGCATATATGTCGAGTGAAACGAAGCCGTACGAACGCTGAGCATTGAAGCGGACAATCTGGAGGGGGGGGGGAGGTGAAGAACGGCGGGAGGCGAGGACAAGACTTCGAGTCATCGACAACCTTTTAGACCAGAGGACACAGCGTCATATCAGGGGACGGCGCCGAGCGCCAGGCGACCTGCCAGAACCGACAGGGACTCAGCCCAGTCAGTGGTGAGTAACACGGCGGGGTTATCGATAAGAGCTGCCGCATTGGCCATTCGGGGAGGCGGGCCTGGTGGGGCAGACGTCAGATGACGATGGATGCGTGCACGTGACTTGCATTCAGGGGCGGGTTGACTCAGGCCGACTGTTGAACTTGGCCAAGAGCCCTTGAGATTCCAAAGAGATGGATTGCATGGTGCAGAGGATGGAGATGGTCATTCGCACAAGGAAGGAAGATGGAGCGGGTATAAGATGGGCAAGATGCACAGCCACTAAGCATGGCTTTTTTTGTTCAGCTCAGCGCTGGCGCTTAAAAGATGTTTGCATTGATGCGCTGTGAGTATACAGCCGACATGCACCCTTGCTTATTGCTTAGCTGCTAGGCTCTGGCTGCCAGACCTTGGGTGCTTTAATCCATCATCGCGGACTACTGTTGAGCACGCCAGTCAGATTCCGAGTTGAATAGCTTCAACTTCTTGACACAGGCCGTTGTTGAACAGTCCTCCGCAGAGTGCGCTTGGCTCGTCGAGGCCATCACCGCTTGTGGCAACATGTCGTTCCCCGGATCAGCGATAAGGCGAAGGCGGTGGCGCACTCGGTTCCTGTAGCACCTCTGCTATGCTGCCGCAGCTGCTTCCTCAAGACGATCCGTGGGGGGAGATCAAGACAACGCTATCGCCTGGGGGAGATGTTAGTCAATGTTGCTACCCCTTGGTTCCACCTGATCATACCTCGAACAAAAAGCATCTCAGACTTGCGGCTGATGGTCTAGGTACAGTCAGTCGAGAGCCACTCATTCCGGCATGCGTTGCCCACAACGCACCTTGGCTTCCTCGTCGTCGTCATCTTCGTCTACCACATAGATCGTCTCCTCGACGTCTCCGAGCACGATGTTGCAATGGCTGTCGTAGGCCTGGTTGACGTCAGTCATCACTTCTCATGCGCTTGATCAAGACCGGCCATTTTGACTCACATGGAGCCTGCCCTTCAGCTCGCGGTCACCTCGCAGCTTGACGAAGACGACCTCGTCAAGAAGGAGCTTCACCAGGTCGAGGGGCTCAGACACATGAGTGTTCTCTTCTGCTGCGTCGGCCATGATGAATTTATTGCTTGGGGGGGGTGATGAGATGACGAGGGGTCCGTGACGAGCATCAAATGCCAGACGCGCGTGAATGCACGTTGTGGTGGGGCATCAGGGTGCATGGACCATCTCCAGTCAGGTCAGTTTCTTCCCAACGGAATTTCGTCGGCGCCCGCAGCATCAATATTCCGGTGGACAGAAATGTCTCGGCCAGAGCTTTGAGCTTCGACCCTCAACGCCAAAGGCTGGTCCCTGCAAATACCCTAGAATCTGGGGAATCACCTCCACCTCTCCACCCTCATCTCCTCTTCTCTCCGCCTCCACGCATCCACCCTCTGCGTCTTGTGGGCCTCCCGCTGCTCCCGACACCTTTCCCCCTTCTGTCTCTCCCTCTCTCTCTGTTCTGCCCGCCCCTCACCCCTCATCGCCATGCCCTCGAGATCGCATCCATGATACCAACACTGTTCAAGACGGAGGCCATTGGCATGCGGCAGTGCCTCCGACCTGTGCCGCTGGGGACGTCCTCGCGTGTCTTGTTGACACGTTTGCGGAGATTCACACGCGCTCGCCCCGCACAAGATGGCTGGGGCCGCCTCGAGTCAGTGGAGAGGCCAGCAGCATTCGATGTGCCTCCTCCTGTGAAGATGCCCGATTGGGGCTTCTTGAAGCCAAATACCGAGCATGTGCAGTCCGTGACCGAGCCGAAGATTCGATACCTCGATCGCCAGCCGTCGCGTGCTCGCAGCGACCAGCGGCAGTTCGCGGCGACAACCACGCTGTGGGACCGGTCGGAAGAGGTGGCGATCAAGAATGACGACCCAATGGCGCCCTGGAACCTCTCGTCTCTCCTCGTCGAGACTCTCCGAACACGCGATGTGGTCGAGACGCTCAGCGTTGTGCGTGCGCTCGTCAATTCGCCTTCGGCCGACGAAGCCATAGCTGCGATGCGGGGCATTCCGCGGACGACCGTCTCGGAAATCTTGCGCTGCTTGGACCCTCTCGAGGCGGGCCATCGGCTCGATTGCACACACAGCCTGGTGATACCTGATCACCTGCAAGAATTCAGCCCCGTGGCGTTGGCTTTTGACGAATTCGGCGTTCGAAAAATCTACAAGGACCTCTTCACGACCATGGTCGCCTTTGTCGAGCTGCTGCACCAGGCAGGCCATCAGCTGATGCTCGCCGACTACGTTGTTCTGCTGCGGTGCGCCGGAGCGACATCAGATGTCACGGCTGCAAAGCGCGTTTGGAAGCTCATGGATCTCAACGAAGTCTGGGACCTCCGCGAGGGCCTGGGCTACGACGAGCTCGTGAAGGCGCGCTATCTCGTGGAGCCTCTCTACCGCCAATACGACCTCGCGAGGGTGCGATTGAGGCCCCGAAACCTGAGAAAGGTCAACCGGCCTGACATGGCCCTGCGAGGACGCCTGGAGAAGCTACGACTGTACGAGGCACGCTCGAAATACCACGCCTACGGCAAATCACCACACCAGCCAGAACGGGACCTGCACTGGGTGCTCAGCCTGCCAGGACCGCTGAATCGAATCTGGTTCAAGATGCTCAACCAGGGCGTCACCATCACCGAGAGCCTGCAGTGTTCGTACCTCGTGGCATGCGGGTACGCAGGTAATCTGCGCATGATTGAAACGATTTTGGCGCGCTTTTATGACATATCCATAGTCGATGGAAAGACGAGGCGCGGCATCACAGCCGACAGCCGAAACGTCCTCATCACGGGCGGTCGCAAATTCCCCCACGGACACCCCTTGACACCAACACCGCGGCTGCTGAACGCCCTTGTCCATTCGCTGGGGGCAGCCGGCTACGTCTTGCTCGCGAAGAAGCTCGTCGAGTTCTTCGCGCAGCAGTACAGGCTCGACATAGCCGCAGCGACCTGGTCCGACCTGCTCAACCACACATACATCATCTCGACGCACCGCGCACAAGTCGAATGGGGCCTGTACGAATCCAACATGGCCGTCAAGAACAGGGCCGTCCGAGCTGAGGATGTCCTGGACGTCTACCACGCCATGACGGCGCACGGCATCGAGCCCTCGTTCGAGGACCTCGACAAGCGCGTCAACGCGCTCATCCAGTCGGGCGCCTTCGACGAGGCCTGGACCGCCATCCGGTCCGGCAGCGCGCACTACCGCACGCTCATGGCCGAGACGCAGGACGCCCTCTTCGAGGCGCTCTATCCGTCCCCGCCGCGCAGCGCCTCGGACCGCGTCGTGCGCGCCAAGGCGAAGCAGCACCGCGCGTGGTACGCGCTCCAGCGGTGGTGCGATCGCTGGCTGCTGCGCTTCAGCAGGCGCGAGGCGCGCCTCGGCGTCGGCGACACGATGGACGCGGACGGGGACCTGACGCGGCGCATCCCCGACTTTGTCGCCGAGTTTGTCGACTACATGCCCTACCCGGCGACGTACCACGTCGCCTCGGGCCTCGTCCGGCTGCAAGCGAACCACCAGCAGAAGCGCATGGGGTGGGAGAAGCGCGACGTCGCGTCGGCGCCGACGCTCGTGGTCGAGCGCGACGGGCAGGACCCGCGGCTTGACGAGGACGGCAGGCACGTCGTCAGCGAGGCCGGGCAGCCGCAGTACCACGTCCGGACCAGGACGTATCAGCACCTCGACCGCCGCGCGCAGCGGACGCGCCGCGCCCAGCCGTGGGAGGCGGTCGGGTTCTACAAGCACTGCGTCGCCGACGGGGCGGCCGAGGGCGGGTGGCCGCACCTCAAGTACAGCAACGTCGCGCACTGCGTCGAGTGGTGATTGGCCGGGGGCGTGCGGCAGGCAGTGCGCCTGAAGAAGGCTCGGAAGGACGGCGGGGACTGGCATGATACCACCGTGCACATGATATAGCCAACGGCACGAGATGAAGGATAAATGCTATTTGTTTCGCACGGCACAAGGACCGGATCGTGTTCACTCTGCAACGCTGTGCGGCCCGGCCCGGGCGATGTGCGCCTCGTGGATGCCATGCTACCATGAACGCCAGCCAATGATGTGATGTTTGTTGTGGTTGTTGTTCTTCTTCTTCTTCTTCTTTTTCTTCCTGTTGGGTATACACTATCTTCACGTCTCTCGCACTCGGGGTCTGCTGTTCCTGCTCCTTTCTCGCTGCTCCTCTCCTCCTTCTCCGTTGGCGTCACGGCGCCTCCTCCTCCGCCCCCGCAACGTCACCGCGTCCCGCGGCGTCCGCGGCGCCCAGCGACACGGGCGGCTCGTCCACGACCTCGGCCAGCGCGAGGTCGTTGATGACCATGTACCGACTCAGCACGATCCAGGCGTAGCGGAACCAGACCATCTGGCTCCGATGGGCCGTGGTCATGGCCTTCCAGGCGGTCGGCAGGCCGCCGTCGCCGGTGAGCTGGTTGAAGAAGAGCAGGGTCTTGGGGTGCGGCCGGTCCTGGTCCTGGTCCTGGTCGTGGTCCTCGTTCTGCCCTCTCTGCTCGTCGACCTCGGCGCGCCCGCCGCCGAGGTACCAGCCCAGCAGGGTCGGCAGCGCGTCGGCCACGGCGGCGTACTTGCGCAGCAGCGAGACGGAGGTCAGGGTGTAGAGGGCGACGGGGGCGGGGCGGCCGGGGCGGGCGCGCAGCAGCTGGGCGAGGAAGGCGCGGGCGCCGGCGTGCAGGGAGATGTGGTTCGGGTGGGACGAGACGCCGGCGGCGTCAAAGGTGACGAGGACGTCGATGCTGGCGGCGGCGGCGGCGGCGGAGGTCGGGCTGGCGCCGCTCGGAGGGGGCACAGGCCAGCTGGCGGGGCGAAGGCGCTGCAGAGGAGGGAGGCGATCTTGTGGGCGTCCCAGGTCAGGGTCATGGAGTCCTGGAAGTCACTGGGGGGTGTCAGAGGAGAAGAGACAGGAGGAGAGAGAAGAGTAGGGAGAAAAGAAGAGAGCCTACGGGCTGTCGACGACAAAGACGTCGTCCTCCTGGCGCAGGCCGAGGGCCATGCCGCTCTTGACGAGCTCCTTCTTGCGCGTCTCGCCGAGGCCGTCGGCGTCGCCGGCGCTCAGGCACAGAATCTTGACGTGGTTGCCCGTCTCGGGGCGGGTCAGGGCCAAGACGGTGGGCGCGAAAAACATGGCCTCGTCGTCGGGGTGGGCGATGAGCAGGCAGATGCGCTTGTTCGTGAGGCGCGGCAGGCCGGCCTGCAGGGTGGTCGCGGCGTAGATGTAGAACAGGGGCAGGAGGGCGGCGAGGGCGGCCGAGGCGGCGGAGAGGACCCAGAGCCAGGCCATGGCGGAGCGCGCTGCGACCCTCCTGCGGACGCCGAGGGGGGGTTCAGGATCGGAGGCGGTTCGTGTGTCGAGGCGCCGTCAGTGTCGCAAGCGGACGGCAGGCAAAAAGAAGAATGGCAAGGCGTGTCGGGTTGGGGCGGGGTTGTTCGTCTCTCGCGATGCTGTGATTTGTGGTGCCGATGGAGAGAGCGGCGGGGCTCCAAGAGGACCGATCAATGGCAAGGCTGCAGATGATCCAAGAGGACCGATCAATGACAAGGCTGCAGATGATGATCCAATGGGAAGCCGTGCGATGCGATGTACCTCTCGACAGAAGCAAAGCGCAACGAGCAAAGGCTGGATGGCGCGATGAGGGTAGCAGACAGCAGACCGCAGAAGCAAATGCAGAGGCAAATGCAGAGGCAAAGAAGAGGGGCGCTTCGCAGGAGGAGGGACCACGGCGCAGGTGCCGGCGGAAATGCCACCTTGCGATTAGGACCCTTGCGTTGGCATCGCGTTGGCATCGGTTGGCATCGCGTTGGTGCATCGCCGTCCTGCACTGTACATGTACCGTGTACTGCATTGTGCTGCATTTTACTGCATTGTACTGCACTGTACTGCATTTTACTGCATTGAGCTGAGGCGCTGGGGCGCTGTCCGGGGAAATTACAGCGAGGGCGCTATGGCGAGTCCCTGCTCCGGTGCCTGCCCACATCCGTACAGATACCTTGCCCCTTACCTAGGGTACAGATGCCGTACCTAGTACCTAGGGTACGGATGCCTTACCTGGCAAGCCTGGTAGGTACCTAGTAGGTAGGGTGCAGATACCTCACCTGGTAGCTAGGTAGCTAGGGAACATCGAATTTGACAGCTTGCCTCTCCTGCCTAGCGAGCTTCCTCTCCCGCCAAGCTAGCTGCAGCTCCCCATCCCGATTCACGCAACGACAGCTTCCACCGGATCCTCCCACACCACCACACCACCAAACCCCTCTCGTGACCTCGCCTCCGACACCATGGGCAAGATGGCTCGACAGCGCCGCGAAAAGGCCGCCGGCACCATCAAGCTGGCCCACCCCGACCGCTCCGATCCCACCGAAGACACTCTGCTCCAGATGGCCCGCGAACGCCGCCTCTTCGAGCAGGCCGACGCCGATCCAAGAAACAAGACGACGTCCAGATCGACGCCCGCCGCCAACAGTGAAGACGAAGACGATGCCGCCGATGCCGATGCCGACGCCGACGCCGACGCCGACGGCACGGGCGAGCTGTCGCCCACGGCCGAGCGCATCATGGACTCGCTCCTCTGGACCGTCAGCCTCGCCATGCTGCACTTTACCCTCGATGTCGTCGTGCAGCATCAGTACGGCATCGACATTGACTGGCACGCCATCATCCTCCGCGCGCTGCAAGCTTTTGCCGGTATGTACCTCCCATCCACGACCCATGCGGCCAGCCATAGGCCTGCTTGGGATAGCCACGACCCATGTGTACCCTCAAGACCGCTTGGCATTGCCTTCCACGACTGACGCCATCGGGCCCCGACCAGCCCTGCTTGTGCTCTTCTACGTCCTCCACGCCCACCCCTCGAAGCCGGCCTTCGTCCCGCGCCTGCCTCTCCGATACCAGGATCCTCTCCGCCAGCTCCTCTTTTTCACCATGGCCGTCACGTCCGGCTGCTACCTGATCTACATCACCAACACCTTTGGCTACCTCGCCGTCATGAAAAAGGCCCCCACGCTGGGCTGCCTCTGGGTCTGGGCCGTCATTGAGCTGCCCTTGGGCCCGGCCGCTGCGAGCCTCGTCATCTGCGCCGCATTCCTGTGGCAGGGCGGCTATGACATCAAATAATAATAAATAAAAAGAAAGAAAAAAACGCCACAAGACGCTCATCTTGATCGTGACCGCGTCAAGAGCGAGCCTGACGGTCGCCTCGGCCCACGTGGCGGGCTTGCGCTCGACGGGCGCGAGGGCCGCCGCTGGATGGCGTCGGCCAGGGATTGCTCTTCTCGAGGACGGACCCGGTCGCGGTGCATCATGCGGTAGACGAGGTCTTCCAACCGGTGGATCTGCGCCCGCTGCTCTGCCATGTCGGCCTGCATCCGCAGGAAGCTCTTCTCCGTCCTGGCCTCCTTCCACTGGGTCTTGCGCTCGAGATCGCGGATCCTGCTGCTTCTGTCGTCAGCCTGCTATCGGGGATGCCCTGTTTCGGCCGCGGTGGACCCACGAAGAGATCATGCTCATCTGCGTAAACTGCACTCTCGCCGTCAGCGCGTCCCGCTGCCGCACCAGCGCGAGCGCCTTGGTCCGCACCGGCAGCCACGCCATGGCGACCGTCGTCGTGAACGCCCAGCGCCGCGGGATGAGCGTCCACCCGCTGTCCTCGGCCTTGGCGCCCGCCAGCGCCCGCTCTTCCGTCTCGGCGACGAGCTCCAGGATGCGCTGCTCCAGCTTGACGAGGTCGTCCATCACGAACGAGTACATCTGGTACGCGGGACGGTCGCCGAGCGCGCTGTCGCCGCCGACCGCCCTGATGAGCTCCACGAGCCACGTGGACTCGGTCTTGTACCAGGAGAGCGACGCCTTGACGCGAAAGTACTCGTCGTCGCTGTTGCGGAGGTAGCTGATGCGCGCGTAGACGGCGGCCAGAACGGCAAAGACGAGCGTCACGATGCCGGCCACGTTGGCGGCGATCGAAAGGGGGCTGTCATTGGCGGGCATTCTAGCTGAATATAGGCATGAACATCAATTGACATGTCTCGTGCTTCGTTGACATGTCCCCGATGAATTGACATGCCCGGTATGCAATTGGCGTGTCTGGCGGTCAATCGGTGTCGTCACCTGTCAGCGATGCGCAAGGGGTCAAAGGTGCCTCAACCCCTGAAGCGAGCCCGGCCGCCACTTTCGGGTCAAGGGGCGATCGGCCCAGCCACGCCCTCTGTTTCGGTCACGTGGAAGACCAACGACATGCTTCGGTTCGATTGAGCTACAGCAATTCGTCGGGTTCATCATTTTTTATCTATATGCTTCTTATTGTATTTTATTTTCGCGAACTTGTTTCGTTTCCAAAATTCCATCATCAGATCATGTCAGGTCGGTGAGGTTGACTAGGCTAGAATAGTCCCAAGTTCGAGAGACCTCGGGACTTTAGTAGGGCAGTAGGTATTCTGGACCACGGCGATGCAGAGGCTGCTAATCAGCCATCTTATTCGTTGGATCGGCAAAATACTAGTTGAAGCTCTCTCTCCCTCATTTCAAAGGTCTCTTGAATGCTGACACTGGGGTGCGGGCCTTGTGTATTTCCTCTTGCTGGGCCTCTTTCAGGGGCAGATCCGAGTCGCTCGTCAAACGGACATGATCATTTTCCAATCCCTACTCTGACAAGGCCTGTGAATCTTGGAAGATCAAATCAAAGTTGTGAGTGAGCCGAGAATAGTCACAACTCTGTTCTTATCCATTGTACAAGCCCACAGCCTCTCATCACGTGGTAGGGTAGCCATTACCCCCCAACACAAGGGCACAGGAATTGCATCAGTTGCGACAATCTTTGGTAGCATGAGAATAATCGACTGTTCCTGAATAGTGTTTGTTACATAAACCGCTGTCGCATTCACTGCACGATCTGTAACACAAAGACGCGAAAGCTCCATATAGACATGTCGCCTCACCTCGAGACAACACACAACAGTGTGTGTGCCTTGCTTTCTGTCCCCCTTCGTGACGCTCTGCACTCATTCTCAGATGCATGTGAGGCTGGGTATCTATTCGAGTGGCGTCTGAGGCGCCTATCGCCCCGACCTTGATCCTAAGGTCACGAGACAACCACCACCACCGTCCACAGTATCAGCCCAACAGAATGGCAAGCACGATCATGGCTGCAGTCGTGATCAACGTAGCAAGACGGCAGTCGCGAAGGGCGCTAGTACGTATAGGTGGAGGCGAGCTTCGTTTATTGGTGTGTCTCCTCCTTCGATTCACAGACTTGGCTGCCGGCTCTCAACCTCTGTCTATCTGTCGTCCTTCATCCTCTTTCCCTTCTGTGATACCCCATCGGCACGTTCATCAAATCTTCATCGATCAGTTCCTAAGACTCCTACACCAACAAGGATCATCAACACTGCGTGTAGCACTCAGTATCAAAGCCATCCCATCAAAGACACCACGGAAGAACTTTCCTCTTTCTCTGACAAGTACGTCGCCATCGACTTCCTACCCCGCGTTGCGTGGTGCTCACTGTTTCATCCCAGGCAAGCAGCATGTCTGGTGCTCCCTACACCATTCCGTACTCTGGATCCCGCGCAAAGGGCCCAGAGGACGGCTATGCTCCCGATTCTGCCGCCCCTGGCAGCACCAGCAGCGGTTACAAAGCTGCTGGATCAGGTTACAAGCAGCCTGTCGTCGCCTCTGACGCTCCAGCAGCTGGCAACGCGCACTGCACTGGACAGCACGGCAAGGGCAACACCTACGGCACTCCTCACTCGTCTGCTCTCTGCCATCCCAAGTACGCCAATTCTGGCTCTTCCTACTGCATCTACGATGATAGTCCTGGCAAGGGCGAGACTGTTCACCACGTGACCCCTGTATCGTCCCCCAAGGCAAGTACCCCGAACATCCAAACATGGCCAACAAGGTGGCCTGCTAACTCGCGTCTACAGAAAAAGAGCACTGTCAAGAACGGCAATGGCCCCAAGACCTATGATGGCCCCTGTGACGAGCAAGACGTTGTCCCCGATCTTGCTCCTTTCAACAAGGAACGTGGAAGTCGCCTGCTGTACCCCTGCGGCAATTGTCACCTCTTTATCCTCTATCTCAAGAGAAAGCCTGACTTCTGCGACGTCTGCCGCATGATTCCCGACTGCCAGAACTGCGGTCGTGACTACCCCGAGATGGGCGGCCAGGGCGTGCGTCGCCCCTCGATTGGCTTCACGTTCCCCAACGGCAACGTCGGCACGTATGACGCCCCTAAGCCCGAATTTCCCTTTGACCTCGTCGGCGACTACAACTTTGGCCAGAGCAAGTAGGTTCGCAACAAGGGTCGCGGTCGTGGCCGATCGGCCCGTCGCGACAGGAACTAGATGCTGGCGGCTCGTATTCTTTTCAGATTGTCACCCGTCGAGTGGCTTCGCAATGGCGTTATACCCAGCAATTGACCTTTTGGAATGGGCTATGGATGGACGCATACATGTTTATTGACTTGCTGGCGCGGCAGCACACGTTTGCCAGTTCGGTTCCGCCAAGATTAGGTAGCTCTTAGTAGCAGTCCGTACAATTACACCATAGCCCAACGCGACTTCAGCGCAGTGACATAGTAGACTTTTGTTTGATGATGGAGCCCATTTTCTCAGACTCTGGGTGAATCAAAGGCCCTTTGGGGTGCTGCGATTCACACCCAGCCGGCAACTCTATCACCACCTCAGCAGAAGTCTAGTACCTCTTTGTCTATTTGAAAGGTACAGTCCTGTCAAAGGCCACTTCAAATGACAGCTCGAGACATACCAATTCAACCATGCACAACACACCTGACGCCGCCATGCCAGAAGAAAATAATCGAACGCTCTTCCTCGTCCGCAAGAAGCGCGACTCCAAGCACGACGTCCCCTGCAGCCTCGACTGTCTCCTCTACCCCCGCGGGAAGCCCAAGCGCGCACCGAAGACCCTCTTCGGGCGCCTCCTCGCGCTTCTCGGCGTCGACCTGCAGACGCCGCCGAGCAGCGGCGCCGCCGAGCAGTGGGTGCACAGGGGCGGGGCTGGCTACCAGCCTGGGCGGCACTGGGGGTGTCCGCGGCCCAACATGTTCTTCGAGGGCTCGGGAGAGGTGGCAGCGGTGCCTGCTGATGGGGCGGGGTGCTGAGGTGTGTTCTTCCTCGGCCTGGGTAGGAATGGGAGGGGGTTTGATCTATGCGGATACGTGGGCTTGTCGTTCGAGTCTATACTCAATTTGGATTTTCTGATATACGAGGCAAGATATGGTGCAAGAACTACGGGATGGTTGTGAGGGGGTGCTCAAGACGTATCACATATACTTGCACGAAGTGGCCCTGAACGTGCTGCTACTTTGACCAGGACAGACACGCCAACCCTGCGACGACCGACTTTTGGCTAACTCTACGATATTCGTTCCAGGCACCTCGCAAGTCGGCAGTAGGCTAGAAAATCGGAGGCCCAGGAGCCGTGATGGTAGTTCTATGGTCGTATCACACTCTAAACGTCGACTTGCGCCCCGTCTATCCTCCATCTCGATCCAGCATAGGGGAAACTGCTGACCAGTTCATCCTCGCTCAGGGAACCATGCAAGCCGGGGTACGAGTTTCCACTTGCATGTTCTCCGCACTTTTTATTCACTATCCCTGCCGGGAACAAACCCTCGTCAACGGTGGCCAAAGAACTGCCTGGGGAGGCAGGTCACTCTACCGAGGCCGGCTTGACAACTTTCAGGAGGCCCTCCCGGAGCCATGGAACAGGGGGCTGGTCAGGGACTAGGGACTACGAGAACGTCGATAACGGTTACGGAGGGCCCTGCTGGTAGCGAAGGACCAGAATTTAGGTACATTCTACCCCTATATCTATCATGTATTCCCTGCGGCCTCGTACGGAAGACTTCTTTACTCTGTTCAACTCCGCGCTCTTACATTATTCATCAGGGTGTTCAGCGCTCCGACGCTCTCAGATAGGCAACCCGGAAGTACGACCACGAGCAGATTGAAGGTGACCATCTCTCCCAGGGGTGCTGTGCAGTTGCAATTTCAGGAGGCAGCATAGAACCTGGCTAGTAGGCAGTGGCACGTCTCTCGAGCACGTCGAGAACGATTCTAGCATGGCCCCCGAGGCTGGTCATTTCGCCTGCTGCGAGCAGCTCGGTGCGAACAAGTAGACAGGAACATTGCGATGTCGGTGACATAACAGTGCTATTCTGCCGTACATAGATTGGAGGGCCCGGGGTTCTTTTCCAGTTGAGTAAACCTCGTGAGCGTGAAACGAGGGGCTCTTGCACCTGTTTGTCAAGGAATCCGTCCCGCCGAGGAGGCCGGCCCTTCCAGGCCAGATTGCGTGCCAAAGGGCTCCATCCCCTGTTCGCGGCCTCGCCAGATGCAGTCGTTGCTCGGCCCGGGGGACCTCAACGGCGCAACGCTTGATCGAAACATGCCTGGTGCCCTTGATGATCGAGCGTCGACAAGCAGAAACCGGGTACAGAGCATTGCCCCTTTCCATTAGAGCAGCAGCTCTGGCACCGGCGCACAACAGGACGGCGATGTGAGGACCCAACGGCTGGAAACACGAGGCTTCCCGTGTGTCGGCAGCATTTCGAGATTCCGAACGATGCCATGCTCGCATCATCGATTCTCAGTGCTGCGAATTGACGTCGCTGGCTGGGGCATTCCTGGCCATTGGTGGTGCGGCCGAGATCGAGCACTCGCTTCCAGATGACTCATCCGTGACCAGGCAGCCATCCTCCCATCACGAACAGCCTCACAGTACCTTATCTTGCTTGTCGCACCATTTTCATCACAACGCCATAACCACCAGATCCAAACATGGCAGAACCATGGCCTGCAGAGCACGCGCCGAGCCCAGCACCGGCCATGCGCATCGCGTACCCCGCCGGCCTGGACCCCTTCAACCGCTCCGTGTCCGCCTACCTCGAGGAGCACTACCCGCCCAACTCACACGACGGCCTCGCCACGTGCGCCATGGTGTTCGACGCCGAGAACCGCATCCTGCTGCTCCGGCGCGCCGCGCACGACAGCATGCCCGGCCTCTGGGAACCGCCGGGCGGCGCAGCCGACGAGCCGGACGGCAGCCTGCTCGTGAGCTGCGCGCGCGAGCTCTGGGAGGAAGCCGGACTCCTGGCGACGGAGATGATCCGCATCGCGAGCGAGGGCGACGGCATAGCGCCGGGCAATGTGTTTGGCAACCGCACGGGCGAGCGGGTCTACAGAAAGTTTGCGTTCGAGGTCGGCGTGTCGGGATCGCTCGCCGTCCAGCTCGACGCCCACGAGCACGATGCCTATGTGTGGGCGACGGAGGAGGAGATCAGGTCGGGACGGGTCACGGGTGTGGAGGGTGATCTACAGCTCACGTTCGGCGCGACGCGCGAGCTCATCTACGATAGCTTTCGGCGGAGGAGGGAAGAGCCTGCGGAAACGCCGTCGCTGGTAGTGGAGAGGGATGCTGCCGTTCTGTGAGCATATTTACGTCATGACCATAGGGATTTGGTATTGGGCTGAGCCCCATGGGCTCTTTGTCATGGCGATGCGTTGTTCGAAAGGCCATGATATCAGAATGGGCAGAGAAAACTGTCAATGCCCCTCACCCCTACACAGACAGATGACAATTGTTCCATCAGACTTTGCCACATGGCCTTGCAGTACGAGTCTGGGAGATGCCAGCACCATAGATCTAGTCCACCGTCAGCATCAAGGGCCGAACCCGGCAAGGCCACCCCGGCTGCACCGGCCAGCTGTTCAGCTCGCACATCCTACACAACAGAAATTGCTGCCCAGGACGACAGCAGCCGCACAAGTTGTGATGTCACTGAGGCCGCTCTCGACTGTGCAGTAGCTGCCGCTGCTCTGTGTCACATTGATACCAAAGTCTAGACGACATCGCATGGCTTGAACCCAGGGGCGCTGGCGTGCCCCGGCTGTGCGGCAAGGGGCGCTCTGTCCGGATAGGGCCGTTGAGCCCGGCGCAGAATCCTTTGAGCTAAGGTAGTACGCCAGACGATTGCCGACGACGGCGGCCGTCATTGACCACGGGTGAGCTTCTTTTGCATTCGTCACGGGAGCGGCATCGGAGCTTTTTTGGCCGATCCAGCAAGGGTCTACGCTTGACGCCGAAAAGGGCACACTGGGGTTTTTTTTTTCTTCAGTGGTCTGTCGTCCTAACCATCTGCCGGTATCATCGGTGTTACTCCCATTGGCCTCGTGCCAAGAGACCTGCGTCGTGATCGGCCGTTGATCGGGAGATGGACAGGATCCTGGGCCGACTACATGATGTGACGATGATCGTAAACATCTCGGAGATGCCGTCGTCGTGATGAGCTTGCCACCCCTTCCCTCCATGCAGTGGGCTTGCGTTTCATCTCTTCCAAGATGATGGCAAAATGGCCAATGCGTCCTTGGTTGCCACGCAAAGATTGCAAGTGCCCAAATGGCATGAATTGGAAATCTGGGCAATATGGTGGAGCGCTAGGACGTATTGGGGCCATGACATCACGATCGATGAGTTTCCGATCCCCCGCTTGGACCAGTATGCACTCGTGGGCCTGGGACGCAGTGCGCGCGTACTTGGCCTGGCCGCATCCTCGCCATGGTCGCAAGAGCGCAAGGTGCAGACACGCGTCGTCTCTTCCTGGGCGCATGTTTCAACGAGAAAGCAACAAGGGGAGCAGCAGGTGCCCTGAACAGGACCAAAAAGGGGGATACACCAAGAGGACGTATGCGCGTATGCAAGTTGACTGGGCAATGGGGCCCATGTTGTAGCGGGTGGCGGACGTGCTATTGATGGTAGTGGCATGCAGGCGTCTCGTTGAAACAGGTTGGTCCGCGGCAGTCGGCGAGCTGTCTGGGAAAAGTGTGGTACAGAGACAGGGGGTCACCTGGCCTTGTCAGCATCACCATCCTGCAGATGCTCTGCTGCGCGTGTGGAAAGTGTCGTCTCCTGCTTTCTTGCAGGTTGGGTCACGAGAGTCGGGCGACCTGCAACTTCCAGGGTCGTTGGGGTCGTCGCGTCTCTGCTGCAGGCTGGACAGGGTTAGGCCAGGTCTCGCACATGCCAAAATCCAGGGCGACCCTAGGGGACTCGATGAGAGGTGCGCAGTACAATAAAGTCCCCTGCTCGGCTTGGCCCACATGGATTGCGACCAAGGTGGGTGAGAGAGCTTGTTTGGCATCGTGGTGACTGTTCCGACTCATGCTTGTGGGTTCTTCGCGCCCGGCCCGGCCGGGTCATCCTGGCGAGGCTGAGTCTGAATTGGGATGACAGAGAAGAAGGGACTCTTGTGATAAGCGGCGGGGAAGGG